CATCCAGCTAAGAACGCACATACGCTTAAAAATCCGGCTCTAATACAGTCCATAAATTTAACAACAGAAAGATTCCAAATAACCTTTACAAATGCATTAAACACTTATAACATTAAACTTAAAGCCCCAGCTTACATTAATCTATAAAACATTTTTCAACATTAAGACAAATTGAAGTTAAAATCTTCATGATACATACGAAAACAATATTACAACAAAATGAAATTATCCTAAAACATAAAATAAGACTTTTTGATGATAAAATATGCTAGGTTAAAATTCAAACTCAGAGAAATGAAAAGATTTTTTTTACATTAATGGTAAATTAAAACTCTCACTTTAGGTATTAGGAAAGTCAGAGAAAAAGAAAAAGCATAATTAAAATACTTTCTTTTTTTTACGTCATTATGATAAATTGTTGGAGAAAATTTTCTTCGAAAATTCACTCGTGTTCTTTTCCCAGTGATTTGTGTTTTTTACAACCATTAAAAATCTATATACGGTTAATTTTTGGTCAGCTAGTCACTAAGTCAGGAGGAATATTATATATATATATATATATATATATATATATATATATATATATATATATATATATATATATATATATATATATATATATATACCAACTTCACCTTTTTATAATTAGGATGATTGTTGAAATAGTCGATTAGTTATTGAAAAAATTTTCCATTTTAAATTCTCAGTCTTCAGCATATATGCTCGTTGATAGTCGACAGTAAAATATAAAAATACTTCTGTTGAACACTGAGTGATTGTCAGAAGTGAACAGAAGAACCAAAAATATTACCTAAAGAAAAAAACTCTTAAAACATATCAACCTGTTGGAAACATTGTTATAAATAAGTATACCCAGCAATTCCTATTGCTTAATATCCTCTATCAACAATACACTCGACATGTCCGCAAATCAGAACACAGTTGAACAGGATAAAGATTATATTCCAACTAGCAAGGTTAAATGGAAGTAAGAAGCCGAGGCGAAGGTGAAATAGGACCAATGTTAGTCTCTTTATAGTTTTTACATGAGAAGCTTCTGGAATGTACTCCACGTATCAACTAGCGCTGATCGGATTAGATTTAGCCAATCAGCGTGCAGCTAACGCAGTCATGCTTTAATCTATCTATGTTCTGCTAACACCTTATGATTTTCAAAATTTATCAATAAATAACTATTTTTAAGAGAAAATCATGATGTGTTCTGTTTTTGTATGATGTATTTGACGTGCATAATATTCATTTGTTAGTTCTCATACTTTGTTACCAAAAATATTCTTCCTAAGCAATAATACAAACAAAAAACTACCTTAAGTATAGTGCAAGGTTAAGGAAATGATTCCGAAAAATCAATGTTCAGAAAATAAAGTGAAATAGTATTTTATCCACTCACCCCTAATGGAGCGTAGGCCGCCAACCCGGATTCTCCTAGGCCTTCCTTTCTAGTTCTATGCAATCGTTATTCACTTTTTCATGTCAAGCTCCATTTCTCGCCACAGTGTACCTCTTGGTCTACCTCTTCTCCTTTTGCATTTTCAGGTTAGGATCTGCATCGTGACACAGTTGGGTAATTGTCACAATTTACATTATTCATTCCTAACCTCTTGCTCAGCTGGAATCTGGTTTGTTCTCTTCCACAGTAGGCTGTCCCGAATGTTGTTTTACAGTATCTTGCTCAGATAACTGTTAATAAACACATGTTTCTTCCGGATGATGAATTTTGTAGTTCTACAAGTTTCAGCTCCATAAAGTTGAACTGTCTTGACGTCTGCATTGAAAATTGTGACTTTAGTTTTGGCTGATAGTTTTTCAGAGTTAGAGATGTTCTTTAACTGTAGAAGTGCTGTTCTTGCTTTGCCAATCCACGCCGTCACTTCTGCGTCATATCCACCTTTTTTATGAAAGATGGAGCTCAGATATTTAAACGTTTCCACATCCCTCAAAGCTTCTGTATGAAGCGTGACTTCGTTGGTGCATTTACTGCCGTGTCTACGGCTCCTATTTTCCCCTGCATCTGCAGAGACCTACTACTGCAGTAGCTGCTGCCACACTGGTCGTCTTGCACGTTTTTTTGAGTGTGGGAGAGGACAGCTAGATGATCTTAGAACTTCAGATCTGTCCACTGTAATCTGGGCTTTTTCCTGGACGCTGATGTCTTCATAATTCAGCCAACAACTAGGAGAAAGACAAAGAATGGGGATAAGCGAGCTTTCTAAAAATTGTTCTTCACTTGGAATGAATTTGTGGGCTGTTCTCCATGAACGATTTTCCAGTGTGGACAGCCATAAGAACTCCATATGATCGTGAATATCCACACAAGTACTCCATTTTGTCGAAAAAGGTTACATGAAGTTTTCTTATGCCCTCCGTTTACTGCTTTCTCTTGGTACAGAAACTTGATGTAAAGTGATGTTGTACAGTCAGCACATGTTTTTCTTTGAATACACAATCACTAGAGATAAACCTCGGTGTTATCAACTAATTTGAATACTATTGTTGAACAATTTTATTGCTTTTAGTTTGTGTGAATTTTTGCGTCCTCCTCAGGTTATTGGTTAAGTCCTAATTTTTTCGATGTCCTTTTTCGAACAACATCATCTCAAGTGAAACTCTGAATATGAAAATGAATACTTTAAAATTCATCCGAAATCATCGAATGAATTTTTTTTGTGACATAATTGTGTTTACCTGGGTTGTGCTAACGTCATGGATATTTACAATTACAGCTTGATTGTTCTTCGTTCAGATGACCACTGCTTATGAGGCTGAGTCATATTTTCCATATGTAAATTGATATTTCATAGAGAATAAAGGCATGCCTACTAATTACCAAAATGTTCCATCCCCTTCTCTCCAATTAAATGAATATAGGTGTCATTACTGATGTTTCACATGATAATTTCCAATAAATGGAGAATTAGCTGGATTCTTAATCATGACGTAATCTATTTGTAATATCCCAATGAATAGAAAAAGTTTTTGCCAACTGCAAAGAAAGGCGAGTAACTGAGGCTTTCCACATAATGGTGCATCCTACTGCCCTGAATAGAAAAGAAGGCCTTACTTTCTATTCATCTTGGATCATTAATCCAAGCGTGACCGGGAGCCTTCAGCTGGGTTTATCCACTAAAGTTAACGAGGTCGACATCGACGTCAATGACTTACAGAACTACCTATTTTCAGGATTTATTTACTGCCTGAGATCCCTGATGCCAACATCACCAAACAGTAAAACGAAGTACATAAAAGCTGAAATCGCTACTCAAACCTACAGCTGGCATATGACCTGTAGAATATCTAACCTACACCCAGCATAATAATAAGAAAAATAAAATCTTTGCCCCCATGAAAGTTAACAGGATGTGACTGTATCAGCAGTATATTCTTGAAACAATGTGTGGAAGCACTCAGTTCACCAATATGTTGCCTGTTCAGGCATTCAATCAAGTAACAGCGACTCTCAGCTGAATGTATGAATGAATGCATGTATTATTTCTTGACATTGCAAACGCCTTAGACACAGAACCACACGCGAGAAATGGGGTTTATCTTTGTTTAGAAACTACTTTGAGATTAGAGATATTCGCACCGAGGTGAATAGAGTTTAGAAGATAGACTGCAGCAATTGAGATTAGTATCCCTGAGTTAATGGAGAACACAAAGTATTAGGCACGCCATATAACGGATTTATTACTCTTGCAGTTCACCTTTAACTCGAAAAGTGCAGGTTCATATGCATCTCACCCAGTCCGGGGCCAAAAAAGGTTATTCTGGGAGAAAACGGTTCTATTTATATTAAATATGGAAATACAGACAATTACCAAAAACAATAATACACCTTCGAGTTTCCAATTACCACAATAGGTTCCGTTGCTAGAAGAATAAGTGCTTCCAGTCCGTTACTGCTAGAGTACCAAATCCAAAAATGGCTGAAGCCATATTAAATATCAAATTTAAACAACATATGTACAGTTCAGAAGGAAACATAAAAACTTCAATATAAATACGAGATATAATAATAATAACAATATACATTGATAAAATCTCAAAATGGAATCAAATAGAGTACCAAAATGTCAACAGAAAGAGTCAGTCATATCATAACGCAAATATATATACATGGAGGGATTTTCCTAAAACAAAACCTTCAAAATAGATTCTACACACCAAACCATCACAACATGAGCATCTTACCGGTACATCGCAGCCACTCCCTTCGCGCATCAAAGAGTGAATACTCAGGTTCGTGAATACTTTTTCTCATTAATAATCGTTGCCAAATACCCCTCAGTGGACAGCGTTAAGAAGATATTTGATAAATACGTACTCACATACGGATTATCGTCTCCCTCGTGGACAAGCTGTATCCGATGCACGTCTTGAGACCTGCTAGTAGTTATTACTGCCATTTAATCAGATCAATAACCTTATCTATCTTGTCTATTATTTCCGTTTCCTCTCTATTCAGTTCGCTTCAGTCCTCTCGCATAATCCTCATTACTAATAATAAACTAAATTATCCATTATTTACTTAGTTCTGAAATCTTCTTCTTCTTAGCACTAAACATTTCTCATTATTGCTATCTGCGCTGCAGTTAACTGATCTCCGTTCTGATAATGCGATAGCTGCTGGTATCCAGAAATGCTACTGCTCTTGAAACAAAAGAATTCATTAAAATCACGAGACAAACTCACAAACTGCCAATTGACTAGAATTATTGCAGTAGAGTGGCTTGACCCCCATCTATTGGACACTGACAAACATCTGGAACAAGAATTGAGAGAGAGAAGAAATCGATTGATTAACATTAGTTCATGTAAGAGATATTGGATATTGGAAATATACACCTAGGCGCTAGAAGCGACGGTGGCGGTACTGTTATTGTGTGCAGAGTTTTACACCTCGCAGTTCTTGGACCTTTTGTGCAACTAATTTCAGTACCAATTTCTAAAATTTCCCTCTAAATCACGTTGGTATTGTCATGAATGCTTGTCGGAAGAAGGGTCGCCTGTCATTCTTCATACGAGCCGAAATTGAACCAAAAAATCGTTCGGGTGTAAATTCTCTACAATATGACCAGTATACGGACAGGTTATTTACTGCAGGGCGTGACTCTATAATTAGAGTTTGGAACACGAAAAGACCCTCGGTATATCATGTTATTTAGTTGTATAAGAGTATTTTTCATTTTTCTGGTGTGATATAGGATCCTCTTGTGCATACTATGGAGCATCATGCTGATTGGGTTACAGATATTGTACTTTGTTGCGGCGGGAAAAACCGTACGTTTATGGCTTTTTCCATTTTCACATGCATAGTAATTCTTTACCTTAATTGCAATTTTCATTATCATCAGTCTCGATCTAAAAACAATTAGTCTTTAGAAAAAATCTAATAACCTGACATGCTAACTACAATAGCTTATAAACACTAGTACTATCGAAGGTTTTACCACTATGTTCAGTTCTCTCCTAAATGTCTTAGTACACTCGAGTGTGATGAGTCCGCTGTCCCTGTCAAAGTACTCTCATATGACGACACGTATATAGCCACTGATGATGATGATGAAAGTGCTTGCAAAATTGGGGGGGGGGACTAAAAGTAAGTGTCTGTCTCCTAAACCGGTATATTACTCGCCGAGGATCCACCTGAAAGATTTGAAAAACCCTGATTCCGAACCAACAGTGTACATTAGCTCCAGGATTCTAAAGAACAGTGTTTTAACATATTGTTGGTGGCCGGCAACCATGGGATTGCGTCTGATTCCTTTGCTCCAGTGCTTTTTTTTCCCATTATTGATTATATAATGTACTGTGTGTCGTATATCGTGAATTCTTAGACTTTCGAAAATCCCATTTTTTGTATGTGGAAATTTCCTTAGATGTTCTTCGAATGTTTAAAAAATTAACAGTTTTAGTTTTAACAGGTTTATTTAATTCGTTTTCCTGCTTTTGAAGTAGTATTGTTAATCGAATGGTTTTAACAACTCTATACTGTAGTTCGCTACTATCTCAATCTTCATGAAACCCATTTTTTCCCTCACAGTTTAGTTAGTATTATGTTGCATCAAAACAGCCTTCCGCTTAAGTAATAAACCTCCTTAAGCACGATTACGTTTGCAGGATGTGTGTGGTTAAAGAGCACCAAAACGTTTTGTTAGTTATCTTCGAAATTCCTAGCTCAAAATTTGTTCTACTGGAGTCTGTTAGCTTTCATATTTTATGGCGATAAACTAGTGCTACTCAAAGCAAAACAGAAGAACTAATTTAATGGACATAATCCTCAACCTTTAATCATTTAACGCCAGGTTTGAATTACATTTTGTCTGCTTCAGTTTTCGCTGCCGGGTAATCTCACTAGTCCTAAAACATTTTTACAAACTAAACACATTGACGTTTATGATGTAAATAATCTACTTTCTTGAGAATGTGGTTCTTACAACATGATAGACTTTGCCGGTAATCTTTCAGTAAGTAGTTATTCATTTTGTATACTAATTCCATACAGTTATTGCTGTTTGGTAATGTAACAGTAATTCAAACATTTAATCAAATAAAGTTAATTCCTCAAATGAAATCTATACACTTTTCATCGGAATTAGTAAGAAAGTACTTTTGTAAGCATATTTATTCAAAACCACATTTTTTTACTTTTAGTCATATCTGCCTCTAATGATACGACAGTGAAGGTTTGGAATGCCACTAAAGGATTCTGTATGTCTACTTTGGGTACACACAAAGACTATGTACGAGTGCTTGCCTACGCCCAACATCGTGAAGAGGTTGCTAGTGCTGGTTTAGATGGTGCAATATTTTTGTGGGATATAAGAACACTTACCGCACTTACACCAACTAATAATACAGTTGAAAGTAAGTATCATAACACATATTTCCACTAATTGGTACTTTAATTAAAACTGGTTAAATGTTAAAACCGTAATATCTTATCAGCCACAAACTAGTGGATGATACTGAAAATAATCACTATCAGTTTTTCCTTACAAATGGAGTGAATAAAATGCAGGACGTGAAAGTTTGTTTCTTAGCCGCAATATGAATCTGCTATTTGGTGATGAATGGGAGATTTAGTCATTTTACATAGATGTTAACTAAAACTTATTCATTGTTCTTTCCCTTGATTAACCTTAATATCACAATCTATCACTTATTTTGAAAATGTCAGCAATAGACTTGTATACAGTTTTATGCGAAATCACAATTATTTAGTAGTTTTAAAACATTCTTCACTATGAATAACCAAGTACATCTATAAACGACCCATTCACTTGAGTAACATTTATCAATCTCAGCTTAGAAACCGTTCAATGATGCTTGGTTGTTTATTTTTGTGATCATGAAATCAGCCGCATATCTGTGTGATATAGTATGTACTTAGAATGATTGAATTGGTCTTGATCAACAGGCATAGGGAGTGTTCGGAATCGAAAAAATATACATTGTGCTATGACTTAAATTAATGATCACAAGGTTTCAAACCTGATCGAACGTCCATAGACCAATTGTTCTACTCCATAATCAATCAATAACAACGTAGATTTAAAAAGTCGAATATAGAGGTATTTCAGACATTTGTTAATGCAGTCGAACGGTAGAAGTATAAATTCATGTGATCTCAGAGATTTATTTATCTGAACCCGCCTCTTTCTCTCGCTTCAGATTTCCTATAGCTTTTTCAACTTCATTAAGATTCAGAGTACTTACATCAATTTGCCATTCAGGTTTACTGGGGATCGTGGGTAACCGAAGTGTGGCTAAAAGTCAGTTTAACTGCTCCTGAGAGTCTTTTGCTCATCCACCCGATCTCCCTAATTGAGAATAAATAATAGCCCCGTCTCTTTCCGAGATAGTTTCACTAACAGTCGGATTCCTAACTTCGGTTTTCTTGATTAGTCTGAATAGTTTTCTACTGTTACCTATTTCCGCCGCCTTTTCCATCACTGTTATTTTCTCTAACCACCACTGTTTGTGATCATCGCATAGTCTTCGTTTTCGCCTGCGCTTAAGCCGACTCCGCTCTTCGTCATGTTCAGAGCCAGATGGGATGAGTTTTCGAGCATCTATCAGATTAGTAGATGCTACTGAAATCCACTATTTCCCCCTCACCTTATGGTTTATCTTACTAGCAGATATTACTGCTACTTTCACATCTATTTGGATGTCATCCCAAGCTCCCTCGGGGTTGGCGTCACTTAAGTGGCTATCTAACTGTTTTTCTGGTTGCTCCTGAAATGTATCATTAGCTATATTATCAGTAATTAGAATCCTAAGAAGTTTCTTTGAGGTGTCTTTCCTACCTCCAGTAAGGCGCAAACAAATACGCACTCGTACTACAGCATGCTCTGAATCTAGGCATGTACCGTGAAACGAGTGACAGTCTTTAATGGAGCCCCTCCATCGATAGCTGTTAGCAATGTTATTTTTATGTTTTGTACTTGATGTAACGCCAAACCACTGTACTAATGACACACCGAACGTTAGACCCCTCCGTTCAAAAATAAGAAGACGGAAGACGTTGGAGAACGATTATTGTCAGAATCAAAAATGTACAATCAAACATGCGTATTTATACAATTATATAAAAGTCGTTAATTATTTGAACATGCTTCAAATAGTTCGTCAGGAACGATAATCATATAGTTCATCATAAATGAAATAGTTTATCATGAACATTAATCATATAATTCATCATTAATGAAATAGTTTATCATGAACATTAATCATATAGTTCATCATTAATGAAATGGTTTATTATGAACAAAAATCAAATAGTTCATTAAATCCACAATATGCGTGGCTTTATTCTCGATTGACTATCCCAACACCTCCCCGGAATAAGATTTTTTTCTTGGGTCCACTTGTAGTCTTACGACTGGTTTGCGGCGGCGTTCCATTCTGGTTATGGGTTTTCGAGTTAATGTCTCTAACCTTCCCTTTTCTTCGGCATTCCGGGGCAAATGTGCAGTTGTCGGTTCTGTCATCAACTCTAGGGGTAGATTCACGCGATTATCACCCGAGCGTGCCATTCTTTGATCCCTTCGCATTTGGTTCGTGTGTCTAACACAGCTTCCGAAAGCTCCTATGATTCGATACAAAACTCTTCCTAGTCTTTGGACGACTGTTCCTGGTTCCCATTGATTTTTACCACGATATGTTTTTAGGAACACTTTATCGCCCACGTTGAAGCTGCGAATATTTTGATTTGGCCTATATCTATTCGCTCTTTTAGGGGGCAACATCGCGTTAAAAATAGTCCGAATACGTCTTCCAAACATCGCTTCGGCTGGAGATGTCAGATGTCAGATGCTGTGTCCAGTTGAAGACGGATACGGTGTGAATTCATATTCAAAGTCACATACTTTCTTCTTTGGTGAATTCTTGTCTGATTATGAGACACCAATACTTTGTTTATTGACTTACCAGAACTGTATTTCTTGGAATCGACTTTCGCGGAGTAATGTCTGCGAGTTTTTGTCCTACATCGAGATTCTTTGTGACCCTTTTTGTGACATTTAGAGCAAACATAATCTTTGTATGGGCAAAACTTCTTGTAGTGCCAACCTCCACATGACCAGCATGGAGATGAGGGCTGGTTGTCTGTGCTCTTGTGATGCTTTTGTGAGACGGAATTTTTCTTTTCACTAATGGAATGCACGTATGATGAGAGGCCATTGTTTTCGACCATGGAGGTATCATGCTTCAAGTTTACTAATCTCTGGCACTCTGCAGTTATTTCTTGAAGCGAGATGTTTGGGCACTGTTCAATTTTACTTAGGATTCTGGTTCTTATATCAGCATCGTCGGGAGATTGTAAGCTGCACACAAACACAAGGCACTTAAACTGATCTTCCGTCATTGATGATAATTTAAATCGTTCACATTCACGATTTACTAAGCCAGCATGCTTTACCCAGTCATCTTCATTTGACTTGATTATTTTGAGGCATTGATAACGAATATTAAAGAGAGATGACTGTTCAGAGAAGATTTGCGACAGCGTATCAATTGTAGCATCAAAAGAGAAATCTCGTGGGTTCTTTGGGAGGATGAAATTACTATAACGTTCGTGTTCGATTGTGCCGAGCTTTCTCAAAAGGATTCTGACTTTGGTGGCGTCATCAAGATTGTTGAGGTCGACCTTGAACAAATCCTCATACTTCTTAAACCAAGACTCGAATGTCACACCAGCAAGGCCATCAAAATGAAATTCATGAATGGAATTAACTATCGAGTCTGTATGCGGATTATATGAATCATCGGCAAAACCTCTGTGATTCAAATTCATTTGTTTCATTAACAGCTCCAACATACGTTCCTGGAACTGTTCATATCGTTTACCTTGACGTTCCAGTAAAGATTCTAACTGTTCAAGATTAATTGACATTGTGAATTGTGAGCCCCGTCGCCACTTTTATGTTTTGTGGATATGGCTTTTTTCCCCGTCGTCACTTTTATGTTTTGTGGATATGGTTCTTACCCCGTCGCCACTTTTATGTTTTGTACTTGATGTAACGCCAAACCACTGTACTAATGACACACCGAACGTTAGACCCCTCCGTTCAAAAATAAGAAGACGGAAGACGTTGGAGAACGATTATTGTCAGAATCAAAAATGTACAATCAAACATGCGTATTTATACAATTATATAAAAGTCGTTAATTATTTGAACATGCTTCAAATAGTTCGTCAGGAACGATAATCATATAGTTCATCATAAATGAAATAGTTTATCATGAACATTAATCATATAATTCATCATTAATGAAATAGTTTATCATGAACATTAATCATATAGTTCATCATTAATGAAATGGTTTATTATGAACAAAAATCAAATAGTTCATTAAATCCACAATATGCGTGGCTTTATTCTCGATTGACTATCCGAACAGTTATCTATTTAAGTTCAACGTTGGAACGAATTTGGTGGTCGCCATGTCAAAAGATGTATTTCCTTTAGCTGGAAAGTTTTCGGTAAAAATCGTTCTTTACCTCATCTGGGTTCCAGTCAATGGGAGCGTTGGCAGAGCTGACGAAGAGGCAACGGAGAGTGTATCTGTCTTTCCGAGTCCTTACTGCCCCGTGTAGTCGAACGGCGTACAAGCGACTGTCCAGCCTAAGAGAGCTAGTTCTTCTCTAGGACTCAATGCTATACCTACACCAGCGATACCACGGGAAGCAGCATCAGGGCTTCTAGATACACGGAGCGTAAACGGAGTTGGTTCCTTATCTGGACAAGGTAAAATCAAATTATTGATTCTACTAGGATCCTGCATGCGCGTTTTGGAGACGCAGCATACGTTGCTGGCACGACATTCCAGAGTCGTAGTTAAGGAAGCCTGTTGCCATATTCGACACAAGGTTCGAACATTAAAAACTCCAACTTGTAGCATTAGCGGCGCGAGGTGATAAAGGGACGTGAGAACGTTTGGTCATAAAGGTTAGAGGGTTATCAAAATTTACAGGGGAGATTTGATTCTGACTCGTGTGCTGTTACGAGTATGAAGGCAGATGTCGATTCCCGACTGCCCTTAGCGTGGAAGGGTATTTCTTGTGGATCCTGAAAAAGTAGTTGGATTAGTGTTGGTCGTAGTGACGGGGGAGTGTGACCATAGATCCCAAGGGACATTTGATTGAGGCCGGTCTTGCAGGGCCTTCTAACGGGAATTTTTAATCATTTTACGACTTCGCCCTTAGACCTTGGATTGCTGCTTTTAATCTTACCGTTCTCCGATCGACCTGCCTGGCATGGTAGCACCTACAGGAACATATGTCCCAGTCATCACGATAAGCAAGCCTGACCTTCATGTCAAGGTAGCAGCTACGGTCGGGATACTATCATAGAAACACAAAGGGTGCTCAGGGTTACATGTGAAAAATGACAAGGTGGGATATTTGTGCACATAGTGAATCAGAAAGATCCAATCATTTCCTCACAAGTCAGAATCGTTCACGTGGTCGTGAGAAAGTACTAGATGCTTTATGTAATACTCATTGATAGGAATTAGGGTTTTCGTAACTGTTTGGATTCACACTTGAATCCAATCCTAAACGTCAGATTATTCCCACTGGTTTGCCTAATGTATAAATAGTATTTCCCCTATATTGATATAATGTTACTCCATCTTCTACTTAGTTTCAGTTCGTTTGTTTCTTGCTTCGATAAGCTAATAACCGTAGTGTCGATAATGACGCAACAAAAGATATTTACTCAACAAAAGTCTGGTGTTTACGGGCAGTATTAGAAACAACTGGTTTTAGATACTGAAAAAAACTTGAACGCATAGTTGTAATCATGCTTTTAGTTGTTTATAGTGTATAAATAGTTCTCTTCAGTTTCTTTTTGACCGTTGGTGAGAATTTTACTTAGTTTAGTAATTTCAACTTCACTTAATTCTCTCTTAAAATGAACATCGTTCTATGTTTGGAACAATGCACTTTGGAATTATTTCAGTTTTTAACTTTTCATATATGATTCACATCGGTGTTTTATTTTTCTCATCTCTTTAACTTCTATACAAGTATATATAGGATAATTCCCGTTTTAAGATATATTTTCGTTCATATGGCCATGCTCTTTTCTCTTATATATTCCACTTTCAATTTTTTTCAAGCTCGCCCACTGACAACAAATGATGAAAGTATATATAGCTTAGCTATGAATCCATCTGGAACAGTCATAGTGGCTGGAGGTCCTTACAAAAGAATTTGGGTATGGGATCCTAGATCACGTAGTAAACCTTTTGATTTACGAAGTCATACTGATAGTGTACGTGCACTTGTTGTTCGACCAAATGGTGAAGAGGTAAGTTATAACTTTCTATTTCATTGAACTATTGGGAAAAAGTTTCAGCAGTCTAATTGCTAACAACAATTTTAATTTATGAAACCAAATACCTATTCGTTCGTCATAATTAGCTTATAATAAAATCATAACTATAAAGATGAAATCGATAGCAAAGTCTGATAATTCGATTTCGGAATAAAAGCATTTAAAATCTATCAATAGTTGTTTTTATTGTGAAACTCAACAGAATCCTATTGCCAGGAATGCAATAATTTTATATTGTAATATATTTGAAAATTTCAGTGGATTAAACTGTGCAATTCCAAATGATCTTCTACTAATATCTAAAGTCAATCTATTATTGATAATTAGCGCTTCCAAATAAAAAAAATATGAGCTTTTTGAATTTAGTTCATTAGTTCAAAAGTCAGTCAAACAGTCGAACGCATTGTAGAGAACTTGGTACGTATGTACATCAGTTCAGTTTGCTACATCCTGTTAATACAGAAATGAAATTGTTAGGGCGAATTCCAGAGTAATAAAAGTAGTAACAATATTTAAGGTAATAAAAAAATATTGGGCATCAACTATATGATCCAAGGAAAAATCTGGTTGATTCAGAAGTTTAGGTTCTAAAGGAAGACGAAGATTAGGTGCATTGACGCCCTTGCAAACAACTTTGAGCAATAACATTTCAAAGTATCAAACGGTTGATTACATTAATCATTAGTCTACATTTACTAACATGGTCAGTTACTTCATGGAATGATGTCATGTTTTGGTTTGGCCGCCCCTAGCTTTTTTCCAGCCTACACCAGTCAGCATCGTCCATCGGAATAGGTGGTGGTTAGGCATACGCAATACATATCCTGATCACCTGAGTCGATAAGGATTCACTACCTCATCAATTAATTTGTCAATCCTACCTAGTACTGACCGTCTAACCTCAGGATTGCTAATTATACAGTCTCAAAATGCACCAGCAATGTTTCGAAGACATCCGGTATTAGAATATCTATTATTAGGGGCTACATTTCACAGCTCTCGTTCTTTAATTAACAGACGAATATCTCACTTTCGTTACACATGATTCAACTTGGCATAAGCCAACAAAGCTTTCTGAATTTGTCTTAAGATTTCGTCAGATACCAAGCTATTACAAATTTGAAATCATCAATCAATCATTGTTAGACCACCACTAGAAACCTGGAAGCACTGGAGGGCCGTTTCGTCCCGGTATGGGACCCATCAGCAGTGCGCATCCACGACTCCTGAACCTCGCAGGATTCGAACCCGGGTCCTTCGGTATTGTGCGCGAACGCCTAACCATTGGACCACTGACCGGCATCCAACGGTGTTAATGTCTAACTCTGATTAATCTACGGATTTTGCGCGACCTCACCCATTTGTCTTTGGTAGTTACTGCGTACACCTGACAGGGTTGAACTCCACCGGTCACACCCATGATCAACACATTTGACTACCTCAGTCCCTGTCAGTAGTTCAGACGTTGAGGTAGATCAGCCCCAGAGCAGAATTTGGGATTTAGACAGAAAGAAGCACATCTCGAACACGCGTGTATTGTTGCTTATGCCAGTTACAACACTGCATTTTGTCAGTGCTTTCATCAAACAAAACGATATCGTATGTATATTCCAAGTCAAAAAAGAGAATCTCCCGGTGCAGGAAACGGAAGAAATATACTGAGTAACGTATTGTTGTGCTTTCATTTATAATTTTGGTCAGCTTAGATTCCAACCACTAACTACTCTAATATCTTATGAACCTTAAAAAAGATGTCTACGTTTGTTTCATATAATTAAAATCGTTAGTCATTAATTTCATAGATTATTACCATGTCTTGTTATAATGTACTTCTATCAATTTTCCGTACTACTTCGTTATCTGAAGACACAGTAGTGATATACATACCTTACGATATGTGCCTTATCACGTAAGGTTTAATCTGAATAGTAGGTGCTACATTTCACAAGTGCATTGTTTATTAAACATTATAAACCTTTTTCTTCCATTATATTAATTTAGGTTATTAGTGGTAGTTCTGATGGAACAATTAAAATATGGTCACTTGGTATGCAACGATGTACAGATACGATACGGATACATAGTGAAAGTGTATTTACACTACAGGTATGTAGTTAGATTACTGTACCATTTTCCTCCGATTAATTGTTTCATATGATTTTAGCAACAGTCATACATTCAATTATTCGTTGAAATAGTGAAAAACCATTATAAAATAGTTTTGGTGTTAATCTATGAAGAAGAAATAAAGTCAAACTATCAAGTGGATGTTTTAATTTAGCAACCTAAATTCACTAATGTTTACTGATGCAATAATCCTAATCATTATATTTGTTCCAGCGAACATTGTATTTAGAGTATCTTGTTGTGTTATTTAGTGTATTAACTATTACTATTACTATTACAAGTTCTCAACTTGTGTAGACATCAACATCAGCCTTGATTTTATATTTGTCATGTTTCTAATGGACTTTGTTGTCAAATATATCAATGATGATTGTAGATATATGTATGACTATTGCAAATACCGGAAAACTGGGTAACTAAATAACCAATGCACTTGACTTATATTGCTTTACTATTTCACCCATCAATTATGCGTCAGTTCATAGAATACTCAATACCTCCGAGATGAGTAAACTGCTAGTAGATACATATCAACATTTTAAAGATTTGTCTTGTTCGTGCTTTTAAATTTTGTTAACTATGTAAAAAGTCTGTAAAATATTTTGTTAGTAAATGTTTTGCAGCAAAATTACTTTAAAATCTCATGATAAGTCGATGATTTTCGTAGTAAAACAAAACAGCTGTATAGTGATTCTTGGTTGTCAACAGTTGTCCAACTAAGATCTCACCAATGTTGAACAATAAATTGGTAACTGTATTTTTTTCTAGGGAATTTAATGTATGAGGTTCTTTTACACATTATTCACTTTCCTAAAACTTAATTCTATGTGTATACTGTTTACCAATATTGTGTTGATTTGGAGATATTAATTTATTTATTCTAGGTGAATAACAATTGGTCAACTGTTTATTCAGCTGGTAAAGATCGTAAAATTTGGGCCACTGATTTGCATAATCCTGGTCACTCTATGTTAATCGGTGAAGAAACGGATCCAGTTTTAAAGGTATTAATTCTAAGCATGTAGATAGTTCTTTTCCTTAACGTATATTGATATTTTGGTTTAACGGTTTTACCTTCCAATCAACTGTTTACTTACTGTATCGAGTACAAAATGGTGTTTTATTCTGTGAGAAAAATATGACTGTTTTCATTATACTAGCTGTGGTAGATAAGAAGTATCTCTGTAAACACTATTGATTACGCTGCCGGATATAAATTATTCTAATTTTGAACTAGTGTTTAGCGTTTCAGGTTCAAAATTTATAGCCTGAAATCGAAGTTATTATTGTTGGGTTACTGAAAAATTATACAGTAGTCAGAGAAAACAACGAAAAATACATTGACTCGTCAGCATTCTGTAGAAAGTTAGAGGAGAAATCTGGACAAACACTGATTATGTTTTCTTGATTCTGTCTGGAGAATTATCAACATTATTACTAAGTGTAATATGTCCCACCAAAGCTAGAAGGTTTAAGTACTTTTATACCTGCTCTTGTTCTCTGTATAATTTATGGACTGCACGTTTTTCCTATCTTTTGTTTCCTCTTCGGAGTTCAAGAATGGAAAATGTTAGAAAGCTCAAAAGCAACTAAGAATTCAGTTTCTAAATATTTTGAGTACAAAACATATCAATTACGGTTATACTGTAGTGTTTTGCTTACATCTGTTACAGATCAGATAGTAACAAAAAAACTCTCCATCTAATGAACCATTGAAAAAGAAGGCTAGTTTATTTTTGGAGGAAAGTAGTTTCTGTCAAACTATTACATCTTTTTCTTCCCTTCCCTTCCTTCATTCTCCATGTTGTACGGTACTTGTATTTTGGAAATTTCTACATTTGTAGATTCTTTTTCTACCTTCTTAACCATGTAAAGTTAATTAGATTTGCTATCTGGAAAAAAAAACTGATAAAAAAATGATCTTAATGCTGCAATTAGGATATATGCTTTTTGTTTTGATGAAGTTGTATTCACCTATTATTTTTTACATTAGGATTGGTTTTTGGCTTTCGGTATAAAACTTGATTTCAATTAGATTTAAAGCTCATCACTTTTATGGCTGTGAATTTCCTGCGTAGTTTGTATGAAAAACAAAAGTTTTAAATCTGTAAATCATCATAATGAAGTCAAATCTATGCATTTCATTCAATTTCGTTGTGGGAGCTTGTTGGTTTCAAATTGTTAATCTATTTCGTTGAAAAGAACAATACCGATCGATCTCAAACGAAGTGTTTTCTCCTTGACTTAAATATATCAAGAAGCGAAGTCGGTTTGTCATATTACCCTATAATGTCATCCATACACCACGTCTTATGAAAAAACAACACATAATTGTTGATCCAGCTGAATTTTCAACTTATCATTTAGTAATCTTTCGTAAGAGGCACTTCCCATAGCAAAATATCATCAGTTTGTTGAAAATTATTAAGCTGTGACATGTTTTTCAGCGCTGATCTTGTCACGAGTAATGATCTTTGTAATCCTACTGCTACAGAATTAAAAATGAGCTCATCATAGAGAAAAAACACTTCTCTATGACTGACTATATAATACCAACAGCTACAATTATTCATACAAATTGGAAACTTTCACTTCTTACATACACTTCGACTATGACATAATAAACATAGTATTTTCTGATTCTGCATATTATTTTACACCTGTCAGAGTTTGTTGCCGACCGCATCAAGTAATTTCCACTCCACTCTTAGTACTATTTTCGACAAGCACTAAATTGATTTCTTACTCGTTTATTCACTAGTTCACCTTGCTTTCTGCTCTTTTTCTGTTTCTTGTGGTTAGTCAATTTGTTTCAACTTTAGTATATAGAGTAATATTAATAATTCCACTTGTATATGTAGCTGACTACAATTGTCTCCGACGTTTTACATCTAGTGTTTTTTTTAAAAAAAATCTTACAGAAATCGACAAATGAAATCATTTAAAATTAAGTAAACAGTTTATATTTTATTTATTAAAGATTTGAAAGGTATAATCATAACTATAAAAGTATTCTTAACCATTGACAAAGTCAACTAATTAAGTGTTTACTACTCTTATTTTGGTATTTTATGTGTGAATTCAACAAGTTTCGTTGTATTTCCAAAAAAAAATTTTTTCTATAGCTTCTATTACTTGAAGGTCAAAGCCAGTCATTTTTATGGTCTGCTACATGCAATACAAATGTATCACGTTGGGTAAGTTCATAATAATGGTTCATATTAACCAATATTGTTTAATACACTAAGTGTTTTATTGATTCATGTGAACAATTTATCTATTCTTAGTGATTCAGACAATTGAATTTCATCAACTCACTTCACTTGTGGTATAGGCAAGATGTCTGTCTGTCAACTAAGGCACAACAGTTTGTTGTGTTTTAATTTTTGGATGTGAAACATTGCCTTTAAAAAAAATAAAAGATATTCATTGTTTACTGGTGTTTGATCATCAGGGTCTTATACACACGGTTTGTGTAATTCGGAATCAGCTAGTGAGGAACGTTAAAGTTAGACCCAGAGTATGGGAGGAAGATGGAACATCAGTTGCTAAGATGGTGAATCTTAATTAGCTGGAGTTTCTAGAACATATTTTAATTGGGACCAAGCACTTCTAATGTGAACGTACAAATGTTTGGTTATATAAATAGTCGGTTGGACGTAAGCTAGGACTGAACAAACCAAGACGTCGTATAAGTTCATTAAGTCCGTTGGCTGTTGGATTGAACCATTTCGGTAGATACATACTATTTATTTGGGTTTCATCCAATAATCGTAACCAGTCATCGCAGACTTTTCATGATGTTATCCGGAATTGATCACAATGTTGCAGATCCATGCTTTTACTTCTTTTCACAAATTCATTGTTTGTTCTTGAAGTCTATTTTCTGTGCATAATCTCTACTTCTATGGTTGAAGATTTGTTACAATAGGGTAGTTGCGTCGAACGTCTACATATATCATTATTATGCCCCCAAATTTCAATATTTCTTCGTAATTTTTTAACCCTTAAATTGTATTCTCCACTTGTAGTGTTTTTATTATCGTTACTACTTTTGTTATTTCTATCACATTGGTTTGCATTTCGTTACTCTCATTTCACTTTGCGCTAATAGGATGTCAAAACTTGAACAGATTGATATTTATCCTAGCTACTTATTACATACTGATTGACATCCACCTCGTTTATAGCCATATTCTTTTTTGGTGTACACATAAACCCAGTACGATATGAATTCTAAATTATCCTCATCTCTGTTCAATTTGAATTCATTCGGGAATACACAATAGGCTTGTATGCCCGAAAACGATATATAATCCGTTTATTCCTTCCGCATTCGGAATCTCTCCTCCCCTGCGTCCACTGGTTAAAATACTCATGTTATAATGAAAGTAATGCGTAGAATTTGATTTTCGCAATCTATAAACATGATTGATAAATTCAACCTTATTCAACATTTGATCTACTGGCACAATTGTTTTATCGTGTAATTTGTGCACATGAACACAATGTTTATTGTGTAGCCGTCATCAATGAAGCCTATTTTTTTTTACTTTCATTTTTCTTTAGCCTATTAAACAATATCCTACTGGGACATGTTCTCAATCACTTGTAGATCATAGACATTATTCAAATCATACAAATTATACCGGTATAGATAAATCGAAAGGTTCTGAATTTGTAACCAATCCTCCAACATCCATTTCATTGTCCTCCTCATCTTCATTATCCTCAGCATCCAATGGTAATGCACTAACAGCTGATGGTGATCATAGCTTCTCTCTATCTGTCGACAATAATCATAATAAAAATAGTGACCATAATAAGCATAATGATAATAATGAACAATGCAATTATGCTTTACCTTTCAAGCCTGATTTCATTATAAAAGGTAGGTAATCAAATATACAAAATACAGTCATGTCAATGTTATTCTTTATTTTGCTACTTCCGTAATCTCACAAATATCCTATGTATATCCTATTCCTTACACAAACTAAATGATCACAACTTGGAGCACACTATTCACGCTACAGTTCTTATTCTGATTAATCATTCGCTAAAAATATTTGTTGATACTGGCTCTCACTTTTGATTAGGCCACTTTTACATTCGTTTATTCCCATTGTTTGTATTCCTTATTATACGACAGCTCGCCTATGGTGGAAATCGTGCTCTGTCTATACAATCTCAAGTCATTGACTGATCAAAATTTGAATGCTACCACCGAATATGAATCTTGAATCGGCTTTTCTGAAACTACAAATGCCATTCAAACTAAACTCCTTCAACGTTCGCACACGAATGCAGATCAAACAACAGATAGGGTTCAGTATATCTTTAGAAATTCTCAATATTGACGTATTTTGTTGATCTGAGACCCATATTCAAGACTCTAGTGGTGTACTGCACATTCTTCCCCTATCTGTCGATTAGTAAAGCTTGTGTCACGTGTGTTTTTCGGAGGACCCTGTGGCGTCTTTGTCTCGTCATGTTGGTGTTGCACTAAGCTCTAGAGCTGAGACAACGTTAATCGATTGTATCCCCGTCAATAGTTGATTTTGTACTAATGGATTAGGAAGCTCCATCAAAGTGAGAAGAAATCGGTATGAGAAGCGATATCTTTTTGTTATCTCCGACTACGCTCCAACAACTTAGAATCCGGACCGAATCAAGTTTGAGTTTTATCACCAGTTAAGTGATCTTCAGAAAGTGCGTTCGGAAGATACTACTAGCCGGACATTTGGATTCACTGTTCGGACGTCCAAGCACAGAGAATCGTCTGTGTGGTTAATGTGGACTCGTTGGTCATGGGTAAGCTAACGATGACCGCCTACTGTAACATGGTGTTGTGGTATGAAAGGAAGCTGTACAGAACTGGCATCTGTTGTTCCTCCCCTTCTCTCTGATTGTGTTCGTAGAGGGATGTTGCAACTAATTAGCTTGTGACGTTATTAGACATAGTTCATAATGGGAGTCTTTGAAATATATATACAGTTCGTCCATTTTATTCAATGTGAAGTGTTGAGGTTAGGATGAGTCAGTATACTTAGACCATTACAGTTCAATAACTGCGTTTAACTTCAGTTATATTTATTACGTTAGGGATTCAGATTTTTATATTATTTTACTCGTCGCTGTAGTATTGAAGTCATAAACATTCCAGTCACATTTTCATATCTGTTTAACTGTAGAAACAAAAACAACCTGGTTTATCACCTTATTGTACGATAAAATATTATCTGTTCGAACTAGTATTAGTATTGTTTGACAAAAGTATAATAACTCATGAATGTTTGAGACTTCAGTTGGTCAGTTTCTCTTTAATAAAACTATTGTTCAATGTTTCAGCTGTTAGTTTTGTCTTTGCTTTATAAAATAAATTCATCATTTACAGGTGGATCACCGATTGTACAGTTTCATATATGCCCCGAGAAACGTTTTATATTAACAAAAGATAGTGAAGGTGTAGTGGCTGTTTATGACGTTTTAAAAGTAAGCACAAAATTCTTCAGTAATTATTATTTGTCAATAATATACTTTGGAAAATCTTTTTAATGGTAAAATTGCTACTACTGATCCTATCGTCACTGAGTGGTTGATAATAATAGGTAAACATGATGCTGATCCGGTGAATGTTTTGCTAGCGAACTGTTGAATAATTATTCTAGTATGTTGTGTAATCAATGTGTTTATAGGTCTTCTGATTACAATTATATGATAGTAAAGAACATTGATCACTACTTCATCAACAGATCTGCCATCCTTTCCTAGTATCCTTTTCCTAACCCTGCCATGGTTTACTCGATTGTCCCAGGAAACACGAGCAATGCTTCTAAGACACCTAGATCGAATATTAATCTACTAAGGTTTCTTATTCTCAGTGGTCATAATTTCACACACGTAAAGTAGGACGGATCGAACTGATGCGTCACGTAAGTTTAAAAAAGCTAGTCAAGCCTTCTGTACCCGTGCCGAAATTTCATCAGACACCAGGCCATCAGGACTAATGAGACTCCGGAGATGAATGAAGTGGTTAACACACGCAACCACTTCACTGTCTGTCACTAGTTCACGTGTGGACGCAAACCAATCCTAAAGTGACATTTTGTATTTGAAGGGTCAGAATCGCATCACGAACATGCTTGCATTGTTCCTTAAGATTTTCAAAAGTCTAGAACTAGATCATCTGAATACTCTATATCAATAAGTGAATCTCCTGGAAAGTCAGACAGTGAAAGTGTCGTCTGTGAAGGCATGTCAATGATCAAGTTAAATAGGAGTGGAGAAGACGGGCAACTTTGAGGAATATCACTCGAGGAAATTGATTCTGAAGACAGTTAGCTATAAGCTGTAAGTAGACCAATACTGTCGGAGTAGATATCCTGTATAAGGTTGATGTGCTTCTTTGGTACTTCTTTCAATGACAGACACTGCCACAGAACCTCATGCTAGATACATTGAACGCCACCTTAAGGTCGAGTATTACCACAATTGTTGGACGTCGAAATGTGTGTTTATGTTTTAGGAACTACCGAGGTGTGAATGTTTAGTGAAGACATCCATTCCTGGCCGTAGCTGGGACACATGTTTCTTTAGCCGACTATTCAGGCTGGTCGATTGGAGAACAGTAAAACTGAAGGTAGCAACTCAAGGTCTGAGGGCGAAGTAATTCTACTGTCTTTAGAGAGATGTTACAGTAGCAAGGTATTTTCCTCACACAACCAGCATCTGCAGCGATGCTGGTTAGTCGTGGTGGTAAGATAGTTATTAAGAGGTGTCGGAAGGATTTCATTATGACCAATTCGGTCCTTTATGTAGTTACGGGTATGAGGGCGGATGTCGCTTCCCGGTTGCCAACACCGTAAAAAGGTATTTCTTGAGAATCAGGAAAAAGAAGTTGAATAAGTGTTGGTCTTACTGACAGGGCAGTGTGAACAAATAGCCTAAGAGACATCTCATTGGGACCGGTCTTACAGGGTCTTCTAACATGCATTTTTAAGCATGTTAGCTCCTCTCTTCAAAAGACCTTATCGTAGGAGACAGAAATCTGTGAGTTAAGGTGAGGTGTGATATTTTTAGGTTCGACCTTTTTGATCCCTTCCTTGCGTTATGAGAAGGTATCTTCTCTGCAGATGCTGGTTGTCCGAGGGAAACACGTTATTGCTGTGACGCTTCAGAGACGCAGAATAACTTCGCCCTCAGACCTTGAGTTCCTGCCTTTAGTTTTAATGTTCTCCGTTCTTCTTTCGAGTCTCTACAAAGTGATATTACTTACGCAGCCGACGACATTCCTGAAGCACTGAACTGTTGTTTCGTCCTGGTTTTCAACTCCTTAATAGCTTATGTCTGCGACCCAACTGGCAAAAGGATTCTGGATCCATCACATTTCGAATCTAGCGTCTAACCTTTAGATCACTGGCTATAGAATACCTTACATTAATAAGTTCAATCCATTCGCGATATCACCATTTCTCAAAGCACACGCTGATGTGCTCGAACTTTACCGCCCATCTCTTCTCACTCGAACTCTGGGGATTACATCTGAAAATGCACTTTGTTGATGAGTCCTATAGTAAGTTGAAACACTATACAGTTCTTCTTAGTCAGTCCGTGGTGCAAACTAAATAGCTTAGTTTTTTAAACACGATAGAAAGGGAAAAATAAGTGAATATAGCTATCATTTCCATATGCTCATATTATATATCATATCTTAAATGTTCGTTTTATCTTACTGATAATTAATTTTTTTCTTAAAATAATATTTTATCACGCACAGGCATCAATGAATGAATGTTTAGGTGTTGTATCATTTGAAGAGGAAATTAAGAAACGTGAAAAACTTATTTATGTTCCAAATTGGTTTATAGTCGATTTAAAATGTGGAGTAAGTTGTCAGTAATTATCATTGCTATTATTTAGATTTGTCATTCATTTTGTTTCAACTAATTTTGGAAACATAATACATACATCATCTTCAATGAATCTTTTATGGATACCAGTCTGTATTAAATTCTCTCGATGCTTCTTACTAAACGATTAGTGTTAAATGCATAAAAATCCTGCGAATAAAAATCAGTATAGCTTTTGTTCAAACCGAAATACGGCAAAGTGGGCAATGCATTTACAAAATTCAATTTGTAACATATCCTGGGCGCCTATCACCCATTGACCAGACACTATCATGAACAACTTACTGTGGGACAGAGAAAACCGAATTAACCCTGAGGATGAAATTAGGAAAAAGCGCTGGAAGTGGACAGGACACACATTTAAGAAATCACCCAACTGCATCACGGTTCAAGTCCTAACTCGGAATCCTCTGTGTGAAAGGAAGAGAGGAAGACTAAGGAACACATTACACTGAGAATTCGATGCAGAAATGAACAGAATGAATAACAATTGGTTAGAACTGGAAAAGAATACCCAGTACAGAGTTTGTTGGAAAATCCTGGTCGGCATCCGTTGCTCCATGAGGGGATAACAGTAAACTAAGTATGATCTTTCTTCTTTCTTTCATTTCAATTCACGCTTTACAGGCCTACAATGTGTGGATTAGTTGATCAAGTAAAACTGTCCTTAACACCTTTCTTTCCTTAGAATGTTAAAAGCTGATTGTCTCATTTTGAAATCCTCCCCTGCCTCCTCAATTTATTATTTATTCCTCCTTCTCTTCTCTTCTCTCTTTACAGATGCCAATCATTCACTTAGATGAAATTGATTGTTTGTCAGCCTACATTAATACTTCTGACGCTGGTTTATTAAATGAATTCAATTATTCCAGTTATTGTTATGATACTAAAAGTAAGCTAATGTACACCTTGTTAATAAGATTAATTAATTCATACTAATTTTTTTTTCAATGTTTATATTTCCCTGTTGTGTTAAAGTCTCCAATCGATCTATCTCTCTATATCGGCATTTCTTCATCCTGGTCGATTAGTCTGGATTATATCATTTAGTGGAAAGTTTTTAAATGAGTAGTATTGAAATGCAGGAAACGCGTTTTATTTTATGCGTAACTTGTCAGCTTGAACAGATTTTCTGCATCAACACTAGATTTCACTGCTATCCATTGTATAAGATTTATAAAAACCATAGTAATAAGCATTTTAATCATAATAAATCACTAAGTTGAAACACTATAAATGCACTATTTAGAGTAGTGTAATGAACGAAGACGAAATCCTAGATGGGATAAACTGTTCATTGGAAGTAGATGCAATCTACTAGACAAAAAGTGTACACATCAAAAAAAAATCCATTTTCAAACAAGCATATTCTCGTCTATCTTTTTCCACATGTCTTCTATTCTTCAAGACATTCTAATCGCACCCTTCATCCGGATACAACACTTTTCGTTAGTAGTACCTTCAGGCTGTCACTCTGTTCCATATCTTCTGCATACTACCTCTTTCTCTTTGTAAGTAGTACTCACCATAGTAGCAGAAGAGTATTATGTTTCTTGAAGTGATTTTTCATATCATTCTAAATCATCAATTCGTTGTTGTTATTTTTTTCCGATTATTATTTGTTTGATTTCAGTTAATTACGGCTTTGTACTGCTTAGATCATTGTTTACTCGTCGGTTAACTGCACCTTCGGACACTAATAATAATAATAATAATAATAATAGCAATATGGACAATGGTATGTTAATGTGTGTCTACAAATTTGTGGTATTTTATTTAATGTAGTTCTATTCAAATGGCGCTTTCAAAAAAAATAGGCACTTATTCTTTTGATTTGTGAAAATATCATGTACAGACATATAGCTCCAGAACATAGACATGACTCTATTGTAATAGAGCGATGACTATTAATAGTAATGTGAATAAATTTGAATTTGGAAATCAGTTACTTTTTTGTATAGACCAGATTCTTCACCTTAAGGTTGTGTAGAATTTTTGTAATTGATTGATTGATTGATAGAATGATTCAATGCGATTGATAATTAATTAATTAACCTTAGTGCTAAGGCTTCTAAAAAAAACATTTCTTTTCTATGCATATTCCAGTGTGTACCCAATCAAATTTCCGATCAAAATAAATGTTTGAACAGTGACGATAAAACAACAGTCGACTGAATGTGTGTACAGTCTTGAAAATAAGCTGTTATGTATAGTTGTGGAGTATCAGACGTTTATGCTACTAAGGAAGACGATAGAGCTTTACAGTTAGATGATAGTTATAGAGGTTACAATAATTATTTCAAATTAATGTTTAACAATACTGTCATCTGCGGTCAAAGTAATCTCTGAGTTTAAATAGACAGTCTTGTGCATGACATATCTGGTTCGCTTTCGAACAGATTTTGACTGTCTCTCTCATTGATGCTCAAATATTTTTTTTGTTATTTGGAATAGAATTTCTACTCTACTGTTTATCTTCATTCTCTTCCTCTTCTTATACTTTAGCGCGCAACGATGTAAATACAGACCAAATTTTAGAAATCCCTGGACATACACCAATTATCTTAAGGTAGTTTTTTTTGCACTTATTTAATAATTGACAATTCAATGATTATTTCTTATAGTGATGGAAGTGGCCGACCACTTGATCGACTTTTAGCTCGTGATGCTTCTCCATTTAATGTACGATTAAGACGTTGTAGTCCAGAACCAAAATGGATTATGGAAGTTGTAGAATCTGTGAGTGGTGGTTATTTTTTCACAAAAAGGTGTATAACTTAGTGTATACTTCTTTTTTGGTTTTTGAATAAGGATATATTTATTGCACATGCATTTTAGTACAAGTGAGTACACAAATCACTTACTTACTCGGACCAGCATTCTCCATTTGTTGCTCATCCTTCTCATGTCAGTCTCCATTTCTCGGCGTAATGTGTTTATTAATCTTCCTCTTTTCCGTTGGACTTGGCGATTCCAGGTGATGGCTTGTCTTGTGACGCAGTCGGGTGATTTCCTCAATGTGTGTCCTACCACCTCCAGCACTTCTTACTGATTTCTTCCTCGACTGGAATATGGTTTGTTCTTTGACACAGTAGGTTGTTGCTGATGGTGTCTGGCCAACGGATGAGGAATATCTTGAGTAGACAACTGTTAATGAACACTTGTATCTTCTGGATGATGGCTTTGTTAGTTCTCCAAGTTTCTACTCCATACAGTAGAACTGCATTGACAGTTGTATTGAAAATTGTGACTGTGGTGTTTGTCGATAGGTATTTTAATTTCCAAATGTTCTTCATTTGTAAAAATGCTACTCATGCTTTGCCAATCCGTGCCTTCACATCTGCATCAGATCTATCGTGCTCATCGATTTCGCTGCACAAATATGAAAAGGTTTTTACATCTTCCAAAGCTTCTTCCTCAAGTGTGATTTAGTTGTTGCATGTTGTGTTGTATCGGAGAATCTTGCTTCTCTCTTTATGTATGTTGAGACCTGTTGCTACTGCTACACTGGACATCTTCTCTTGCATTTGTTGTTGCGTGTGGGATAGAATAGCCGAATCATCGACGAAGTCTATATCGTCTAGCTTCATCCGAGTTGTCAACCGTATCCCCCGCTTCCCCCCAGATGTTTACGTCTTCATGATCCAGTCGATCACCAGGAGAAAGGAAAACAGTGGGAGTGAGCAACCTTTCCTACACCGGTCTTCACTTCGAACGAGTTTGTCAGTTGTCCTACATGCACTGTTTTGTAGTTTAATCCATCATAAGAGTCCCTTATGATGTTGACTATCTTCTCAGATACACCGTGGTGTTATCCTGTCTTCACTATCAACTTCTTTTTCGTAGTCAATGAAGCTGATGTAGAGTAGCGAATTCCATTCAGTTGATTGTTCCACGATTACCCGTAATGTTGCAATTAGGTCCGGACACGATCAATCCCTATGGAATCCAGCCTGTTGATCTCAAAGTTGGTTGTCTATGGAGTCCTTCATTTGCTGAGATCTCCTTTCTTTGGCATCTTGATCAGATTTCCTTTTTTCAGTTGGTACTTGTTCCTCATCCCAAATCTTGTTGAAGAGAAAGTGGACTATTTCTGCGGTTGCTGTTACGTTTGCTTCTAGTGCCTCTTCTAGAATGTTGTCTGGTCTTGTTGCTTTGCCACTCTTGATCTGTCTTATGGGCATGTTGGTGGGTTCTTTGATAAATATTTCTCGTCGAATGACTGCAGCCTCTCGTAGAATCGATCTTTAACTTCTTCCTTGTTTTCATTGTTAGGCGCATAACAGTGGATGACGTTCATTGTTTGTTTTGAAGGTTGTTTTGATGATCCTGGGTCCATGAGATTACCATCCTATCAGTGTTTTTTGTACCTGTTTGGACAGCGTCAGTGCAACTCCTTGTGTATTTGGATCATTTCCTTCTTCGTGACCGGAGTATAGCAGCAGCTCTTCCGAAGCTGTTTTTGTTGTCTAACCTACGTTCAATGTGTTTTGCTGATTTCAAGCACGTTCAGGTTGTATCTTTTCATTTCTGCAACAACTTGGAATTGTCTTCCGGTCTCCCACATTGTTCGAACATTCCATTTACCTAGAAGAATGGTTGCTCTGTTTGTCAGAATGGGCATCGCCCTCGTGACTTTTGAAGAAACTCGTCGTTCATCATGAGGCGTCATAACTATTCTAAATAAAGATCTAACTCCCAGGATAGAGTTAAAATGGTTCGAATTATTTTTTCTGGTTAGCGTTTTTTGGCGGGTTAGTTTTCTACGGGATGGGGTCGCCAAACCCATTTCCGACCCACCTCCTTTATTCGGACTTGGAACTAGAAGTAGCCCCAGAGGGGTCTCCTGGCAGAGTTTGAGCCCACAAATAAGGAGATAATATTATGAAGGACTTCAAGACTAAAGTTTGAAAACATTGACAAGTGTGCGAGAATGGTTTATGGTGGAATAAAGTTCAAATGAAAGTACAACTAAGATCGACATCTTTTAGCTTAGGAGAGTTATGAAAAGTGTGAGAGAAAACTAGGCATATGCGATAACATTACAAGCCACTGAGTTGCACTATCTCTAGGACTTCAATCAGGAAGAATTCGTGATCGTCAGACAGATTCCAGTCTAATGCAGCTTTATTTCACACCACGACACCACATCATATACCCGATCACCTATACACTTTTCCACCGAGACCTGAAGAATCGTATTCAATTTATAGTCATATCCAAAAAACCTAAGTTTATATGGTTTTGACATTATGACAGTTAAGTTAAGTGATGTAACTTCTTGCCGTACACATTCGATCCTGTTAGTTATGCATCTATATTGTTTTCGATTAGATCGTCATCAGGCCTCACTCTAATAATATACATGAATATTTGAGTCAATAATCACAATGAAATGAAATAGATTACGTCACTACATATAATAGGCAAAATTACAAGTTGACAGTAGGAAGACAGGTGTACTGCATCTTTCCGTTTATATACTTCACTATCTAATTATGTACACACTTCTTATAACGTAATAGTTTCAATGTTTTGTGATGATTATTCCAAGTCCATTTATCCTCGTTTGACCTTCTATTGACAAAACTTTAGCTATCGTATTTTATTATTCTTACTACTATCAGTACACCTGTTTTCCTACTATCAACTTGTACTTTTGTCTATTATGTGTAGTGACGTAATCTATTTCATTTCATTATGTTTATGACTCAAATTGTCTTGATTGGTTTAACATTTTCATATAAATATTCACGTATATATTAGAGTAAATCCTGATGACGATCTAATCGAAGACAATATTGTTCGCTTATATGTGTCGTTCTAGTTTAAAATTTCCGCAGACCACATTTCATCTGTTACCGTCTGAACATTACTTGAGAGTTTTTCTTATTTATCAATGAATTCTGTAATGACGCTTCCCTATCTTTACAGAGTTTAGTTGTGATGCGAATCAAAATTGACACATGAATTGCATGTCAATATTGAATGTTTAGTGGATTGGTATTAATTAACAGTTTATGAGATATCATAATACTTATCGCTTTTTTATCAATCTACTTTGTGCATTTTTATCTTCTTCTCTACAGTGTAAACTACCTAAACCAGTACGTATAGCGTTTTGTCTTGTTCCCGCGGTTATTGAAGTAGATAATCAAGGTCAACAGTAAGTATTTTCTTCGATTTTTTTCACTGTAGAATGTCGTATATTGTCTTTTAGATTTTTTTAAATCAGATCAGTTAATATATTCTAAGTTGTTGCTACTGTTAAAGTATTGACGACTTATATTCAAATCAGCATCCTCAAGAATTGTGAAGAACTTGGTTTTCCTAAATGTCGATAAATATGGAAAAAAACTTACCTTGTCTCCCTTCACTCTTCACTCATTGTCACGTGACTGGATTGTTTTTACAAGTTTATTAGAATATAGCGGTTAATCAGTCATGAACAATGTAGAACCTGGTATGTATTGTTTGCTTCAGTTCAAGTTTCCGTGATGAAATTGCTGAGACACGTCTCAGAGTAGTTACAGTATTGATAGCATCGTGGTAATAAAAAATGGTAAGGTTTGGATAATATGCCTTCATAAGAAAAAATCAATTTGTGGAATACAAAGCATGAAATAATTTTGAAATTCATGATCTGCAGAAAGAGAAAAATGAGTGTATCTATGCCACTGAAACCAATTTTGAGTTGTGTCACCTAACATCGAAAGTAGCCTATAAGTAGTAGTAGTTGTTGTTGTAGTATTAGTTAGATTGTTACTCTAAACGGATAGTTAAGGAACACTCAACAATGCTTCGAAGACACCTATGATCGAAAACTAGTAACCCTATTTTGAGTGGCCATATTTCACACACGTTTACGTTTATGCGCAGTAAACTCGTCTTTTGGTTGGAAGACGGATATCTCACCGACACTATAGGTGACGTAAGCCAGTCAAGCCCTCTGTACCCGTGCCGAGATTTCGTCAGTCAACAGGCCATCATGACTAGTGAGACTCCGGAGATAAATAAAGCGATCGACTCGCTCAACTACTTCACTGTTTGTCACCAGCTCACGTGCCGCTGCAAGCCGATCCTGAAATTAAATAGGAGTAGAGGAAGCGGATAACACCACTTGAGGAAATCAATTATGATGGCAGTTAGCCATAAGCTCTACGTCAACCAGTACCTCATGCTCAATAGACTGAACGCCACCTTAAGGTCGAGTACTACAACAATTGTCGGACGTCGAAATGCGTGTTCAATTTTTAGGAACTGCCGAGGTGTGAATGTTTGGCATAGACAACTATGTTCAGGTCTAAAATCAGGCTCGTCAGGTTACGTTTTATCATTGAAGCTAATTTTTTATTCAGTATATTAGTTAAACTGATTCCTCTGTGATTGTGAAAAGAGGACTATTGTCCTTGCTGATAGACTAGAACAATCAGTGATTGAGACCAGTCAGATGAGATCACGTCTAGTTTCCAGATTCTAGCTAAGATTGCAGAAATAATGCAACGTTTTTTGTGTTCAAAAATTCCGTACCTCAATAAAGCTCACAGACACTCATGTTAAGTGAAGACCTGTGTCATGCTAGGTTGCTTACTCTCACCCATTATGTTTTTCATTGTGGTTGACTGGATCATGACGACGTCAGCATCTCTATGGAAGTTATGAGTAAAGTGGATAACACGGACGCAAGTAGACGATTCGAACCTCGCAGATGATATAGCTAATTTATCTCACACACAGCAACAAATGCAAGAGAAGACGACCAGTGTAGCAGCAGTCTCTGAGGTAGTAGATCTCAACATACACAAGGGGAAAAATAAGACCCTTTGATGCAACACAACGTGCACCAACGAAATCACTATTGACAAAGAAGCTTTGTAAAATGTGGAAACCTTTACACTTCTGGGTACTATCATTGAGCAACCAACAGCAAAGTCACAATTACAAACGTCGAAACAGTTCTACTGTATGCAGCGAAAACTCGGAGAACCACAAAAGTCATTATCCAGAAGTTATAGCTGTTTATTAGCAGTTGTATACACAATATACTGCGGATTTGTTTGCTCAAGCACCAGCAGCAACAACCCACTTTGACGGTTAGGCTGGTTTCAGCTGAGGAAAATGTCAAGAAAAAGCACCGGAGATAGGTTGAAAACACATTGTAGGAATCACTTGACTGCCTCAAGAGCAAGCTCTTACTTGGAATTCTCAAAGTCAAAGGAAAAGAAGAAGGCCAAAAAACACATTACGCTGAGAATTGGAATGAGACATGAATAGAGTGAATAACAATTGGGTAGAACTGGAAAATAAGACCCTGGAAAGAGTTTGTTGCAAATTGCTTGTCGACATCCTGTGCTCTATAGAGAACAACAGTCCTAAGTATGAATGATCACTGATATTGAATAATTTATGAATTATAGTTCAATGTGAGTTCGTCTTCGGGGTATAATTTGCTTGAAGTCTGATGTCATTGACTTGGATTCGTAAACTTTAGTTTACGTGAGGTTCGCTTTCAACCTGCTTGATAAATGTTTAGAATGCCAAGTCCCTTATCACTAAGTTATACAGTATAAGTTGTATGTAGATGAACCGCTCATCAATCAATGCATTTCTACACTCTTCATTTTTAACTATCCAGGCGTGTTGTACCAATGAACTCATTAAGAAGAGATTCATTAGCTGCCAATGATGTTTTATTGATACGCAAAGTGATGGAACATGTATTTCAACGTTTGTATAAACTAGCCGATACATTAACAATGAATGGGACCTTATCTAGTCCACCATCACCTAAATCCATAGGTGAGTTCTTCTCTTTATTGCAGTGAATTTAATTAATTTTACTTTTTTTAAAGTGCAAAAAGATATTTATTTTTATTGATTTATTTACCACATATATATCGATGTACTTGACTTCATGTTCCACTCTAAATTTTAGCGCTAATGCTACTACTATACGAGTACCTAAATCAAACTAAATAGTGTGGGGATCAAAGTTGCTATCTCAAATTGAAAGTCAAATGCCTTGAGCATTAAGCCACTGCCCCGTAAATAAATAAAAAACAAGAATCATCAAAAAGTATAAAAGAGAATTATCCAATTCTCTGATTTTACTCCTCTTCCACCGAATTGTTTCAACTTAACATCAAGTTGTCTTGCTTTTACAATCTTTCTTTATTCAGTAAGTTCAGGCGCGCATGTACTTGGCACAGAGCCATGCGCTTTGTCGATCATGTTCACTGGTAGAGTATGGACTATACCTTTTTTATATTTTCAACATTAAATTGTAATCGGGTATCATTCGTTTGAATTGTCTTATTTGACATTTCTTAATTGATACTTATGGGAATATGCGAATGTGTAACAGCTTCAACAGACCATTTACACTTCTCTTCAAGTGTCTTTCTTGCCTTATTAACTGGAATGAGTGATTGAAGTCACTTGCTACAGCTGTTTCACCTTAACACTTTTTGGTAGAGGTGTGACACTTGTCAGTACAAATCATTCCTCTTTTCATCTTTTCTCTTAGCAATCAATTTTAGGAACTTATCCAGAAATTATAAACAGACAACAACAGCATATTAAATCTGCTGTTGTTGTTCACTCTAATCTTACTTAAGCTCACTGATCATGTACATATCTATTGCTCGTTATTTTATGATCGGAAAGTATTACACCGTGATCTATAGAACTAAAAATGTGCATGAATCATAATCGATCGGTGTATTTCTATTTTGTTTCAATATCCACTCACTAACTAGCATTGTTGTTTGTACAAATTTGTATTTTTTTTCTTGCCTCATATTATGATGATGATTACTTTCAATAGGACAAAATGATGAGACTGGTCAAGTAGTACCGCCTAAATTATCAACTAATACAGCATCTTCTGCTTATTGTGACAATTCGGCTAATAATAATCCTCAAACACCTGTAATGGCGCCATTAAATCTTCCACCGGAAACATTAAAAATTGATTTAGCTAGAATAATAGCTACAGCTTCATCGGATGATCCAAATCCTGAGAATATCATTGAAATATGGTGTGGTGATCAAGTAAGTTAAGTTTGTGCTTTTTCATAAACAAAGTTTCAATAAAATGAACTATTCTCACATTGAGTTTAATAGGTCAATGATTAATAAACAACAGGTTTTCACATAACATAATCAACTGATCCTTGTATCAAACAAAGTGTTTCAAGTGTTTTAAACAAGAGACAATCAAAATAGAAGACCATAATACTTTAAGCCGAAAATACACATAATCGTAGACAGAGGTAATATTAACGTGAAACTATTGAGTTATTTCAAGCGAAAGAAGATACATCTCACATTATGAGTTCTGTGTTGTGGCATAACTGCGTCATTTAAATTAATGTCTTCAACTGTTATTTAATCACTAAAACTAACATGATTAGCACCTTTTTGTCCAGCAATTTCAAAGAATGGTTGAAATCAACGGGGAGAGAGCAACGAAACGGGTGGGTAGAGCACTTTGAAGAACTCTCGAATCAACTTACCACACTGGACTCATTCAACATCGAAGCAGCACCTACAGACTTCCCGACTCAGTCAGTCAGATGCAACGTAGAACTTCGTACGTAAGTACATCAGTTCATGTTGCCATACCTTATCAGCACAGAGATATGACTGTCATTTCAAATCCAATAGTAGAAGAGGTAGTGAAGGTATTAGGAGTAATCGGAAAGGTTAGGATTAGAAGATACTATTCAAGAAGTATGATTCAGTGAGATAAGTTTAGAGAGTCGAAACTAGAGGTGTTGAAGAATCCAGAAGATTAGGATTTGAGAAAACAAAGAATGAATGCACCGGCGCCATTGCAAACGGTTTTGAGCCATGTCATTCAAGGTATCTAACCATCCATTATTATCATCTCGGGGACCCCAACCAGGTAGTCGAAAACTGTTGACATGACTCAGTCCACTTGTCAATGACTTCATGGATTTCTGCCATGTTTTGGTTTGGCCGCCCCTAACTTTCTTCCAACCTATTCCTACACTACAAAACAAAGCTCGACGAGGCAGTCGGTGGTTAGGCATACGCAGCACATGTCCCAACCACCTCAACTGATGAGGTTTCAGCACTTCATCTATTCATCTGCCATTCTTACCTAGCACCCGTTTTCTAATAACAGCGTTGCTCACTCGGGTGTCCGAGGATATACGAGCAATGCTTCGAAGACACCTATGATCGAAAACCAGTACCGTAGGAATATCTTCCACTCTGACTGGCCATGTTTCACAGCCATAAAGTAAGACGGAGCGAACTGCTGCACAGTACACTAGTTCTTTAGTCATCAAACGGATATCTTCTAGCCTACGCCATAACAGACGCAGGTTGTATCTGTTCAAGTTGTCATCAATGGTAATATAAAAGATTAGGCATCAAAGATACAATTCAAGAAAATATCAATTTATGAAATAGAAAGATTTGTGAAGAATTCAGAAACCTGGGAATTCGAAGAGAAGACAAGGAGTAACAGATCGAGCCATGTTACTTAAATTCTCTAATCCATGGTTACGATAGTTACGCGGATCCCAACAAGGCGGTTTACACTTATTAACATGGCCCCAATTCAATTTGTTGATGGTTTCATGGACTGATGGCATTTTTCGACAATTTTCTCCCAGCCTATTCCTACTCCACACACACTACATTGTTCTTTTCGCTTAATTCTTCGCATCTATGTGGTCTCATTCGTATAGCTGACATTTTTGTAGTGATTCAGTATATACCAATGTTATATCTTAGTTTTATCGTTTTGATCCTTTGCTTCTCACCTAACCCTAATCCTTCTCATTAGGGTTTAACTCAACCATGTTAGTCAACATTCTCATGTTCAAATCATTGACAACTGATTAATGCTTTTGATCTGGAATAAATTTGTTTTGTTCTAATCTAAATTTCGAAAAAAAATCTAACCAATTCACTGGAATCATTTCATAGACTTTATTTTGAGTGCGCAATATAGTCAGATAAATAAATTTTGTTACTAATATTACAAGTGATATATATTGGTTGACGAGTCAAAGACAACAAATACATTTTTGTGTATTCGTGCCTATCAAAGCTAAACTAACTTGATAAATTTAGTAAGTTTGTCAACACACCTAAACACTTCACTAATTTTTCATCAATAATATTTCGGTATAAACCTGTTTAACATATAAAATACAGAAAAAATGTGATCCAAATCGTAAACACGCGGTTAATTTATGCTTCCAACGAAATCATTATAAAATAGTAGCTTTGAGAATAAATAGTTGACAGCATACATTTGGATCGTGTAGCGTGCAATCTACTGATCCCAAACTAAATAATTTAAACGCACGCCTATAGTGACAGTCCATTGCATCAAGTGGAATTCAATCAGCACTTAGGACTAGACAGTCAGTAGGCAACAGTGTGACTACACTCAACGGCCAATATAAACATATTATTTCCCTTCAAGAAATCACTCAAATTCAAAGAATAGCTGGTTTTAAATGTCATTGTATGTGACTTGGTTAATGACGCAGTTTAAATCCTACAAAAATCGAAACCATAGATACGTCGTACTAGCAGGTATTAGATAGAAAAATCTCTTAAGTAAAATAAGGTTTCAATAACTTGCCCAATCTTGTTTTCAGGTCAACCGACGGGTACTACTGAGCTGTTTAAGTTCAGCAATTAATTTAACGATAATTAGAATTTCGGATATGATAAGCCGAGTATTTGTACATACGATTCGGTAGCCAAATAGATTTTCTCTTCTGCTCTTACCTTCTCACCCAAGTATCCAATTTGAGGAAGGCCGTTAGCATGTATCGAGTTCAGATCTCTCGGACATTGCATATATGACGATTCTTATCCTTCATTTTCATTAATTTAAGGTTTCCTGCTTAAATCGTTGCAAAAGAGAGTTTAACCTTCGCACCTAATTCATGATTTTTCATAGTTTTTTTCATTTGAGCTTACCAATGATGAAATATTATCAATAAAATTGAAAGATGTTTGATGATTAAGTGGTTATTCATTAATTATCTCTATTACTGCTTCCGGCGCAGAATAGCTCCCGACCGTAGCTGCTACCTTGACGGGCTTGCCTATGGTGATCACACAACCGAGCTATATTGGCTGGAACATATGTTCCTGAAGGTTCTACCATGCCAAGCACCTCGATTGGAGAATGATGAGACTAAAAGCAGCTACTCAAGGTCTGAGGGCGAAGTCGTACTGCTGATTGCAGAGGGTTGTGGCAGCAGTAAGGTTTTTCCGTCGGACAACCAGCATCTGCAGCGATGCTGCCTTGTGACAAGGAAGGAAGGGTTAGAAAAGGTCGACCCGAAAAATGTCGTACGTCACTTAATCTTACGGATTTCCGTCTGCGGCCTGAAACAGTTGTCCATTGTGCTCTGCGGTCACGCTCCCAGGTCTCTAAGACCAACACTAATCTATCTTCCTTTTCAGGTTCCTCAAGAAACACCCACGGTATGGCCAGCCGGGAAGTGACAACCGCCCTCATACCCGTAACAGCACACGAGACCAAATCGGTCATAATCAAATCCTTGCTACATTCCCTAATATCTCTCTTATCTCCACGACTAACTCTACTCACATCCCTTCATCTCACTGCACCGCTAATGCAAACGATGCGAGTTCACGAAACGTCATTCCTGGTCTCCATAAACCCCGTTCTAAACTATATGTTGGAGCATTTAATGCACGTACATTGTGTCGAATAGGGCAACAGGCTTCGTTATCTAGGACTGTAGAATCTTGTGGCATCGATGTGTGCTGCGTCTCGGAAACGCGCATACAGGATCCTAGTAAAATTAATTTCATCTTGTCAAAATAAGGAGACAGCTCGATTTACTTTGGGCAGAATAGCTCAGAAATATTTCAACTGTCGGAGTTGATCAACAAAGTATTTATTGATTTCATGTTTATTCTTTCATAATATTCTTTAAATTCATGAACTTGAATAGTGTTTTTTCTATTTGGAAATCATAGTTTTTTGTTTTTCTTTATATTTCACTTGTCACAGTGTCTTGATCCTAATATGAATTTACGCAGTGCTCGTCATTTCTATTGGAAACAGTCAGGCGATTTGGTGTTAAGCTATTTAGTCACTAAAGAAAACACTATTGATAACAATGATACTGCTACTAGTACTATTGACAATATTAATACTTCATCATCATTGCTAAGCAGAAATTTGCAAAATCCCATGACTCTAACTCCTTCTCCTACTAATACCAGTATACGCGGAGAGAATGATGTCAACCATTCCAGTACACATGAAACAGATGTTAGAAGTGAGAAGAAACAGCATCGAGTAACCAATGGCATCTCATCATCATCCTTACCAATTAATATTCATAATTGATGTTATCATTATTGCTATTGACAACGCTTAACAACCACAACACCATAGGTAAAATGGTGAGTGGCTGGATCATAGAATATCAAAGATTCGCGACCTAAGTTATATTGTATATATATAAATAGAGTGTGTGTGTGTGTTCAATGTCACTCCAATAGGTAATCATTTCAGCACAGAAACAAACAAACATACCATATTTACACATAAATATATATCTGTACATAAAAAGTGTTTTATTGTTGATTTTGTTCAGTTTCATTGTTTCTTAATACACAGGCACGCACATTCATTATGTAATATATACACACATACACATATACATACATACATATAATATATGTTTGTCAGTGTCTTTCAGAAACATGGACGATTATTTTGTCAACTTGCTTTTTATTTTTACCATTCACCTTCCCCCATCTGTCATCATGAACTTTTGCTTATGCTATACTACTACTACTACTTCTATTGTAACAATAAGCAAGCAGCATTGATTACTTACTGACTAACAATTCTTAAACAATTCAGCATGTATGTATTGCGAATAATATCAATAATAATAAAACAAGTATAACTTCATCCATCATATACAGTGCAATTTGGCTGTGTTAAATATATAATAGACTAGATTGTCTTCTATAGTATGATTTGTGATACACAGTCACATGCATGCAAGCACGTATGCACGCAAGCGCACAAACTGATCATTCTCTCTCTCACTCTCTAAATTTTATTCTTGCTCAGTGATTCAGATGTAAACAATTTGTTCATTATAAAAATGAAGCGCGAGAAATGTGAGAATAATTATCCATCGGTGGTAACTACTGATTATTTTAATTTATTGACAATAGATAGATTGAATTTGTTCAATTTGACTTTGTGTAAATTCACTGTGATGATGATGATGACGATAATGTAATTGATCGATGATACTTTTTATAGCTACAAAGAAGTGAGAACAAATGAATTTTATAGTTTGGAAAAAAAATATAAATAAAACCTTTGAAAAAAGAAAATGAGTTTTTTATTTCAATGCAAAAATTTCATTAGTCATTGTTTTATTCCTTCCTAATCTGTTAATTCAATGTGTTCAGGTTTTTATGCATCGACAACTCATACTACAGTTTATGTTATGCCATACACAATCACTGTCGAATTCAGCATTCAATGTTAAAAGGTGTAGTTATCAATTTGAAGAAGAAGGTTTGAAACATGATATCAACCCATGAAGAATTACTGACTGTCTAAGTTGTCAGATGTGTGTGGTCTATGCGGTTATCGCGTAGCCAAAGAGTTGGAGATGTGGCGTTACAGTTGTATCTATTCCTTATTTCGAATCACATTATCTTCTTTGATAACACAGATATGGCCACTAATCTGGTTCCCATCCCGTTGTAATGATATGGTTTAGTAACTGGAACCGATGCACTTCTGTTTCATAGTTTACATTTGCCCATGACTGACTAACATAATTCAAGTTATCAGTTGACCGTTAGTTATGTCTATTGGACCGATACTTTCTCATGATTAAGAAAAAATCAATATTTTAAATATTTTTCTGTACATCAGTTATCCAAGTGTATAATAAAATACACCACCTACCTTGTCTTGTATCATCACTGATCAAGAACAAAGCACAATCAAATCGTTCTGTTTTACTCAGTTGAATTAAAATATCATAAATCTGTAGACTGTTGTCATCTAACGGAAGATAATATAGAAGACGTTATTATAAAAAAAAGTGTATAATATTATAATTGAAGAGTTTTTTTAATTGAAAGTGAATCAGTCATAAGTTTCGCTAATAGGGTTAAATATTTTTCAATTTTACCCGAAACTTTCAAGGTGCCCATTTCTGACTCATTCACTTTGGCAGACTATCTGATAATTGTTTATTAAATTTAATTCTTCATCTACCGTTGATAGGTTGATAGAATATTCATGCCCCTGGTTTAGGCTGTTAAAATTTAATGAAGGGTTTCAAAATCTGAATGTTAATTAATTACTAATATTATTTTCTTTGATTAGTAGAATTTTTCTACCCAATGAAAATTTATCTGTTTTAATCAGAGTGCCAAAATTGGGTATTATTCCTTAACTCAAAGCAATGAATGCGAGCAAATTCAATTGTAGCCATAGGGATATGCATTTTGTTATGTTCGTCAGTAGGTATGCTTGAAGGTATTACGAGTTCACCTTAGTCGATAAACGCGAACGAGACAATTACCAGCGTCTAGATAAGCTACCCTTGAATCCCAAGCTGTAAATGGAAGACTTGGTAAGCATAGAAAGTATATTCTACAACACCCGGAAATCACAATACAATCAAGCACACAAATCTCGTTTATGTATACATCATGGAAACGTCCTTGGGACAGTTACGAAAATAGCACACTAAAATACACAGCAGCTAATCACAGTCACGGATTTTCCTGGTGGGAAATGAAATCTCAAGTTCAACTGATCAGCCCATGATCGCAAACGTGAAGTCCAAAATAAGGCATTTATCAAGCGAGTTCTGGGGATCTAACATCCCCAACACATTTCATTTTTTTGCATCTAGATGTCCTCGGAATTTATTTCACCTCTTGATTGGTACTTAACTCAGTTTTTTTTTCAAATATCAGAATGTGATGCACTACTGAGTTACAGTACTTCACTCTAATTTAATCAGTATTAAATTATTGTTTAAATTTAAACTTTCCCATTATTCAGGCATAAAGTGTTCATTTAGTACAGTAGTTTTTGACAGAAATGATGGACATCATGTATGAATATATCAGATATTCTGAATATATATTCGATACCTGAACTAAGAGTCAAAATGTTCATATTTAGAATTACAAAGCTTTAATATACCGGCAATTCATGCGTGTTGGTCGACTGATTGAAATCGTCATTAGTGAACCGTATATTTTAAAAATCTATTTGAACACTTACTCATAGTCTTCATGGATACATCAATCGCGTTCAATAAATCATCTAACATTTCAGCCTCCATTCGAATCCCAATTACTGTACCGAAAATAGTTTGCATAGGAGGAGGAAATAATGAACAAATTTTTATATTAGTTGAGAGGATATTAGTGTATAATTAAATTCTTTTTAGTACTAAGTTGCTACTTTATAATTCAATTTCAGCATTGCTTCTCTATGTTGAATGCAACTGACTCAGGTATTATCCACATTCAAATGTATTATTTCTGTTTTCCAAAAAATATTATTATGGGTAAAATTATTAGTAAACTACATTCAGTTTTATGAATTCCTTTACCAAGGTAATGATGAATGAGTGTTTCAATAATAATAACAGTTCAATAAGTTGCAACTGAATAACAAACATTTTTACACTACAGGAAGAATTAACCCTGTAACTGAAGATTGTAGATGTTGATCAGCATCAAAACTCCTGTCAGCTACATTGAAGCCGTCTACATTTCAAGAGTTTTCAGCCAATAAATTGAAACAGGTTATAAATAGGCATGAGATGTGGATGGACGCAAATTATTTGTTCTGGTAGCGTTAGAACCACTCGGATACCTAAATAGAAGTGAACCTCATAATCTGCCATTTACAGATCGACTACTGACTTAAAGAATGGAGAAATTCATTTTCATTATAAGGTTATCGATATTGTTAAGTTTCTTTGAAATCATCAATCGATCAATTTCAGACCACCATTTGAAATCTGGGAGCACTGGACGGCCGTTCCATCCTAGTATGGGGACTAGGGTATATAAAATACTCCAATGATGTTATCATATTTTATACTGCTAGTATAGACATTAGTTAGTATTTATTTTAGAATTGATCAAACTAACACCACTCTTCCACGTTCAGTAAAGACTATTGTTTGTGTTTTAAAGAAACTCACTAGGTATAAAGAATATTCACGATAACACGACGGACAAGGAATTTCATTGAAATCATGTAGTCGATCATTGTTAGAATATCACTAGATACTTGAAATCACTCGACGGCCGTTTCCTCCAAGTACCGGGAATCTTGGAGTTCAGCCGTATCAGATGTCATGCAGTCACTTAACGATGACAATGAATCCAGTCACCGATTATTATGGATTGACTGAAGTCAGACATTAACATCGTTGAGTGCAGCTCAGTGATCTAGAGATTAGGCGTTCATATGCGCAGGACAGAAGGAGCCGGCTTCGATCCTCGCGTGTGTGACGTCGCGGATGCGCGCTGTTGATGAGTCCTATGCTAGGACGAAACGGCTGTCCAGTGGTCTAACGATGATCGATTCATGACTTAAATGAAAAATATTGTTCGGTAAAATAAATGAACGTGATTGCAAAGATTAATAGACTGGAAAAATTATTATTATAATTCTTCAGTAAATGAATCATACCACTAATGATATAGAAGAAAAGTGGTTTGTCGAACTCATCAGACTTAAACCTATTATTCGTAAGAGTATAGTAATATTATATGTATGCATTCTATGGAGATCGGCAATAAACTGTTATAACCCTGCATACAGATACACTTAATCCAGATGAGATGCAAACTAAAGCTGTATATCTTAAAGATTTTGACGCTCTACCCCCCAGCTCGAAGTCATAGTAGGTGGCTGCTACTTGGTTTACATAAGGTTCAAACCTAGCTTCATCTACGTCGGTTCGGAAACCCGAGTAGTCCCATTTATGATGTGATTCGGTACCAAGTACATGAATATATGTAACATGTGTTTAGGTTAATAAATAGGAATAAATCACATCTTCAGGTTTTAACTTGTCGGTATATTTTGGGAAATAAACAAAATCATTTTGTAAGTTAAAAGCTATTAATCTCATTTTAAAATTAATCTATATTGTCGAAAAGACTTACGCTTCGATAATTGTTTTGGTTGTATATTATTCAATAATGTTATAATTTCACTGATGGCACTCATATAATTTAACCGTTTCAAATATTGAATATGTATCCAACATGTTTGAAATTCATGTGAATTTCTTATTGGTTTATCTAATAAATTAATTTAAACATAGAAAATACATTTAGCGTAGAAGACATCAAGTTAGGCAGTTGTTACATGCCTCAAAGTAACAAATCAGCAAGGTTTCATTGCTTCTTACATTCAATTTATTTTCAATGGAACCTTACACAAAACTAATCCAGTATGGACGACAATCATTCTGTTGAGTTGAAAGATATGGGCAAACAACAAAATAACGTGTTCCTATCTCATTAATAATTCTTCAAATTGTCTATGAAGCATGGTAGAAACTGATAAACGGTATGGTAAATTAATAAAATAGTGTACCAGTACAAGCTGAAACACTCGGGACGCATCTTGTTATGATGCGATAATCTAAGAAAAATTCCATATGACAATCTAGTAGATGTGTATTTATTCCTTCGTTGGTTTATTGTTGTTGGCATTAATTAGTCAAACATAGATATATGTTAACGTCAATACAGCTCAAAGAATACAATATCATGTTAAGCATCCACTGAAACTATGCGCACTTCTCATTATGATTATAGAGAATTTATTTGGACATAATACTATCAAAGTCAGAATAAAGTTTTGACTCTAACTCACTGCTTAACAATGCATACCAGATCAATAAATTAATCAATGTAATTAGTTAAACTCCGCCTGTAGTCCCTTCGAGGCTACTGCCGGTCCCAAACCCGGCTAAAGGAGGAGGGGTTGACGCCCCCAACCCAACTAAAACTAACTTGCCAAAAAAACGCTAACCAGAAAAAATAGTTCAAACCATTTTCACTCTGCCCTAGCAGTTGGAAGAAGAATTATGACGTCGCGTGATGAAAGCCGAGTTCCCTAGGAAGTCACGAGGTTGATGCTCCTTCTGACAACCAGAGCAATCGTTCTTTTAGGTACGTGGAACGTTCGTACATTTTGGGAGGCTGGAAGACTATTTCAAGTCGCTGCAGAAATGAAAAGATACAACCTCGAGGTGCTCGGCATCAGGGAAACACACTGGAGACAGGTAGGACAACTGAGACTAGCTTCAGGGAAACAAATGTCAAGACAGTTCTACTGTATGGAGCGGAAACTTGGAGAACTACCAAAGCCATCATCCAGAAGATACAAGTGTTGCTAATAGTTGTCTACTCAAAATACTTCGGATTCATTGGCCAGACAGCATCAGCAACAACCTACTTTAGGAGAGAACAAACCAGATTCCAGAGGAGTTGGAAATCAGGAAGAAGCGGTGGAAGTGGATAGGACACACACTACGGAAAGCACCTAACTGCGTCACAAGACAAGCCATCACATGGAACCCTCAGGGCAAAAGGAAAAGAGGAAGGCCAAGGAACACATTACACCGAGAAATAGAGAAAGACATGAGAAGAATGAGCAAACATTGGACAGAAGTGTAAAGGAAAGCCCAGAACAGAGTTGGTTGGAGAAAACTGGTGGGCGGCCTATGCTACATTGGGGGTAACAGGCGAAAGTAAGTAAGTAAGTAAGTAAGTAAGTAGTCAACATTTTACCCAAGTAATCGCTGTCATTAATTTAATACTGGACATAATCAATTGTAAACAGTGTAGAATCCGATCACCTTATAGATTGATTCCGCATGATATAAATTTACATAAAAAGAGGGCGATATTTGGGGGAAGGATATATTTTGTTTGAGTACCTTGTTACAGTAATTCTGACTAGTTTAAAATAATAGTAATAATAATAATAACAATTATCTTACTTAGCTTCAAATTATTAGCCATTGTAGAAATTGTGCTAGTCGTGTTAGTGAGTTTTTTAGTTTCTGCATTGATCAAATTCACTTCTTCCCATTCATTGTCAATTGATTTGGACATAATATTTGCACTATTTGATGGATATTGAGAGAAATTGTTTGAATTAGTAGTAGTAGTAGTAGTAGTAGTAGTAGTAGTAATAGGAGTTGATGAATTCAAATTATTATTACATGGTATAGAAGCGGTGAGGTGATCATAACTTCCAGTATGCTTTTCCTCAATGAGAATTTCATCGACATTGTCAGCCTGAATATTATTGTCTTCTCCTTCAATGTCAATATTTGGCAATTCAATTATTTCAAGATCTGATGTAGTACTGATTGTACTAGTAGTTATTATTGTTTGAGATTTATTCGGTAATTTGTCATTGTTCATTCTCTATTTTATTACGCAAGAGAGATGATGAGGAGGAGGAGGAGGATTTAGCAAGTGTGTTCATGGCAGTGATTATTAACATTTAAAAATATGTTTGTTATAAAATAACTTTTGATTGCACTCTTATTACTCACAATGATATAATGTGAATCGTATTATAATACTGAAGTAAAATAAATGCAGACTATGTGTTCTAGAGCCTAAGCAAAGTACACAAACACTGTACATACTATGTTATATTATCGAATTGTGCACGCATGTTCTCAATACTTCTGGTCACTGAGAACTTTCATCATATATTGACTAGCGTGTCATAAAAACATATCAGTAAGACCGGTATTTGATACTATAAGATTTCTATATCTTTAAATCAGTCAAAAGAACATAATCGATTGGTAGATACACTACTATCCAGCTTCATTCTTTGATGTCTTAGGAATTCTGGCCGTTTCATTTCAAAGTAATTGACTACGATTTCAATTTCCTGATTTAGTGGCAGAATGAGTAATTTTTTTAGACAGTACTCTTATCTTAATACTAGTTGGCTGTAATAAGACATACAGCAGTCATATTGGTGGATAGGTTGAACCAGGTTGAGAATTACCTACCTGGAGTATAAATAAAACTGCTTAAACGTTTATACTACTAAATAGAGTATAAGTAGTAATAAAATAATTACTAACGGAAATGGCATCCGGTTCGCATTCCTGTTCGTAAACTTGTAGCTTTGTACAATATTAAACTGTAGTGAACGCTTTGCATTATCTTCTTGAATATAATGTAGACCGTTTGGAGTTATCGAATAACAATTGTTTGGACAAGTTATATACGAATCGTTAGGATTATCTCGAACAGATTTCATTACTGGGATAGTCAGAAGAAATTAATTGTACTTGGGAGCTTACAACTAACCGAGTCAGTAATAATAATAATCATAATAAACTCTAGTATACTCAAAATTTCTAAGACACATACACATAAAACAGTGGAAATATAGAAATTTATCGAATACCTTGGTGAAAAATTCATCTCCTTTTTGTTTTGATTGGTCATATTGAGTGATGGAATGTGTACTCTTGGATTTCTGAAAAAAAAAGTAACAAGTAATGATATTATGTAGTATTGTCATTTGGTTTTCTAGAGCAACGTTTAAATGATAAATAATTATTCCAAAAATCAAATAAGTATTCAAACTGATAAATGGAAGCGAAACTAATGTGTAATTGGTCATCATGTGTAGTACAAACACGCACAGATTGCTTGGCTATTAAATATATAGTTAGTTTCTCTTTCCTGTGATTGATTTTTACTGTGGACTCATTGAAAGCGATAGCCTGTAAGTGTGTGGAATAAGTACTGTCTAATGCTTGTTCTTGTCCTTTATTTAAATATCAACTTGTGTTTGTTGATATCTACTCATGACTTTCCAAACTAAATGCTAAATTTATTTGAAATGATCAAGTCTCACCTTGGAACTGATACTTTTGTAGTGCTTCCACATATGTTCCAGTTCGCTTACATCTAACTTGGTTAAGCCCTTTCGATTAAATTATTTAACCAAGCCATTTGTATTGCAACAATTTATATGTACCAATCGTTCTTATTATTGTCTGGTTTGAATGAGGAGCTCACATGACGTGTCCCACTTGTCAACTATTCGTCACTTTTATTCATGTGTGTGCCTATTTCGCTCGTCGCATGTCTGTCTTATATTTGTCTGACTATATATTCTTAGTCATGCTCTATTTCTTTGAGTCGGCTCATTAGCCTTCTCCACATTGTTTCCTCGCTTCGCTTTGTGGTGTGTCCCAAATAAATGTATGCATCACTTCGAGTTCACCTTCTGATTTATAAACCGTCAGGCGCTAGTTAGTAACGATTGTCTGGACGAGTTAATTACCGAGCTTAAGAACACGCAGTAAATCGTCATACTACACCTTTTGGTGACAGGTGAAATAGAATTTTAGTCTCTATTTTTTACAAGAAATCTTATTTGTTTAACACAGTTTAATAATCTGCGATGTCACATTGTGATTAATTTCAAAGTATTTATCTCAGAAAAATGAGGCTACCTCTGCTTACTTTGGACACATTTGCATTTTCTAAGGGTTCGTTGATTTCAGCTTGAAAATATGTATCTTCATCACTGCATGTAGTAATAAACTGTTCATTGTTATTGACAGGAATATTTACGCCATTTTCTTGCTTACTGATATCAAAAGTAGTAGATTTGTCAATCAATTGAACATTGTCATTTTTGCTAATATCGATGTTGACATGAAATTTATCAGAATCGGTATTATTTTCATGGCATTCAATGTTATCATTACTTATTTGGTGAATTTCTGATTCTTCCGATCGCATCTTTTGTTGGTGTACATTTTCTTCGTCAGTGTCATCACTGTCGTCATCATCATCATCATCCGAGGAATCACCGACATCAGTTATAATCATACGTCTAGAATTTTCTAAATGTGGTTTCTTACGTTTCAATATAGCAGCTTTCACATTACGCAGTAACTCCTATGATAAGAAAAAAATAAACATATTCATCCAAATCTCATGACAAATAAATAAGTAATAAAACTTAACTGATATATACTAAGCTTAAATAGTCAAAATCAATTCCGTAAAACCAAGACGCTCGATTGTAGCTATTAGTGGAATTCAAAATACATGTATTGTCTATTTTTTACAACTCAACAGTTGTATCCACATCCTAAGATTATTGATTTACACAGCGATAATCAAATCCACTACTGATCACCTTAAATCCTGAAGCGTTTCCCATTAGATCAAATCAATCAATCATAATAACCATCAACTTGTTCAACAGATTTTTTAAACAAAAAACAATTCAACTAACTTGAGCTTGAACATTTGTTGGATCTTGATCTGTAAGTTTAGTTAAATCTTTTTCGGCTTGTTCTAAATTATCTAATTCAAAGTTTGCTTGACTACGTCTAAATAATGCTGAATAGAAGAGAAGGAAATTAATTAATGAACAAGTAAGAAAGGATTATGCTGATAGGGTATTTTATGTTAAACAAAGAACAAAAAAGCGTGAGTTGGCACTTCAATGTAGCCCTGAATGGCAGTTCTACTGTGTCAGCTAGCGAAAATATCCCGGTGTTTGAATGGAATTCAACTAGTCACTCAGAAACAATGTAGAACCTAGAGCTTTTGAGTAGCTTACTCCAACATTAGACAAACATCACCTATCGAGAAGATTGATGGTCAGGCATAATTTATTGTATGTCACAACCAACTAAACCAATGAAGATTCATTAATTCAGTAATCCTTATCGATTACTCTGTATCTAACCTCAACGTGACTGACTAGATAATCGTAACAACGTTAGCGATGCTTCAAAGTCATCACTAGTAATTGACGAACATCCTTTAGTTTAAAGGCTACGAACTGAAGTAGATAAAGATAGTTTCAGAGAAATTATGGAAGTTATATTCAAAGTGTTTGCAAGTGGTTTTCTTATTAACAACATTCAACATATATATATATATATATATATATATATATATATATATATATATATATATATATAGAAACCTGGAAGCACTGGACGGCCGTCCCGTCCTGGTATGGGACTCATCAGCAGTGAGCATCCGTTCGATGCCGGCCCATTGGGCCGATGTTTAGGCATTCGCGCACAATACCGAAGGTCCCGGGTTCGAATCCTGTGAGGTGCAAGAGTCGTGGATGCGCACTGCTGTTGAGTTCCATACCAGGACGAAACGGCTGTCCAGTGCTTCCAGGTTTCTAATGATGGTGTAACAATGATTGAGTGATGGTTTCAAATAAGTAAAAACAAAAACATTCAAAACTCTAACTGAAAAAATATATATATAATGACAGATAAAGAGAATATCATTTAGAACTATGATGAAGTTAATTGAAGGATTTCATCACTTGGGTATGGCATATTCTTCAAAAAACAATCTTATCTAGTCAGAATGAATGAAACATTAATCGAGATGACAGCCAACTTAATATCACTAATCCCTTTTATTATTTCTCTGAATTAAAATTTATATTCTTATCAAGAAACGTACTTGTAGTCCATACATTAATTCACATTAAAATCAAAAATGGTGAATAGTAATATAACCGGCTTTGTAATGTCATACACTGGCTACTGTCACATCTGACTAGTTTAAAATATAATAAATTTATCGTTAATTACAAGAAGAAATCTGATAATCCTGTTATAAACGTATCAATAGCGAATTATGTCAGGTATAATCTTATCATGATATCTCATTTTGACAATAATGGTAGCTAGACAATTAATTCTATTTTAATCTGCCATTATTTATCTGATTTCACCTAAATCAAATGAAAATGGACATTAGTTCAAGTGAAGAAATTTTTTTTGGAAGTAGTAGAAATTTATTTATTATCATTCAAAATGTACCTTTTAAATTATCCGGTTCAGTTTTTAAAACTTTTGTACAATCATTCACAGCTTGATTCCATTGTTTTTGTCGTAAATCTAAGAATATTCAGTAGTGAAAAAATTATTATCACAAAATGCAAAAAGTTGCATAATCAGTTAAAGATAGCATTTCGAATAAGAATTTAAAAAAATATTGTAGTAAAAATTACGAAAAATTTCCAAAAATAAATGTAATTGATGCAGTCAATATGATGAAAGGACATACATAAAATGGGTCTCGAACGGACGAGTTAATTATTGTATGCTCATTTTTTTATAACTGTTCACTGTCACCTAATATCAAAATGCTACTAATAATTCCGACTAATCATATTGGACAATTATTACAACCAATCAGGATTTCGAGTTGAAGAGAATGAAGTGGAGATACATAGGATAAACGATAGGACGTTAGGACGTCTTACAAGCTGAGACAAAGAGGCATATATTTAGTGCTTCTTCATTTAAGATAAAATTGTCACCTAACATCCGCCTAATGCTCATCAAATTCCCTGGTCCAAGGGAGATTGGCAAAAATCCGCACTCACTCTCGAAGCGCCCCAAAATCGCCACCGAAGTGTAAAGCCTCTATCAGGCAGGTTTTATTCACTGCCTTCTGGTGAAATAGATATTGTTTACGAAATTGAGGTGACGAAAAGCAAACTTGGACCAATTAAGTGAGTACAGAGGATCTATCTAAGTTAGAAGCACAGATTTCAAACCATCGGTTCCAGGATCCTGAGTTAACAAATGACATATGAATCAATTTCCAGTACATGGTTATCAAACGACAACTACTACTGACGTTTCTCTACTGTCTTGAGGATTAGGCGTGCAGATCAAATCCCTTAAAGAGTGGTTACTTAAAAAGATCACCAGTTTCTGTTTGAGCGACAGAGCAGTATCCTACCCCTTAAACAAACTGAAACATTCACGCTACAGTATTTGTTCTCGTGAATCATTCGCAAAAATATTTGTTGATACTGGTTTTCACTTTTCATCAGGCCAATTTGATGTTCGTTTATTCCTATTGTGTGTATACCTTATTATTCCTTATTATATAGCAGCTCGCCTGTGGTGGAAATTGTGTTCTGTCTATACAATCTCAAATCACTGACTGGTCAAAATTTGAACGCTACCACCAAATATTAATCCTGAATAGGCTTTTCTAAAACCACAAATGCCAAACCATGCCAGATACCACAAATAAAAACTAACCTCCTTCAACGTTTGCACACTAATCCACATCGGACGACATATAGAGTTGGGTTTATCTTTAGAAATTCTCAACATTGACGTCTGTTGTTAATCTGAAACCCATATTCAAGACTCTTGTGGTGTACTGCCTATTCGCTTCCTATCTGTCGATTAGTAAAACCTGTGTCGCGTGTGTTTTTTGGAGAATCCTGTTTAGTCTTCGTCTCATCATGTCTGTGTCGCACTAAGCTGTAGAACTCAGATATCGTTAATAAATGTCTTTTTGTTATCTCCGACCAAATCCCAAAAAATTAGAATCCGAACGCAATCAAGTATGAGTTCTACAAACAGTTAGGTGATCCTCAGAAAGTGTGTTCGGAAGATATGGAACTATTAGCCGGACATTTGAATTCATTGTTTGGACTTTCAAACACAGACAGTCGTCTGTGTGGTTGGTGTGGACTCGTTGGTCATGGGTGAGATAACGATGACCACCTACTGCAACTTTGCTCAAACAGCAACCTGTTTTCGGCTAGCACTAACATTGGGCACAGTTATCACCAATATGGTGCCTAGCATCCTTCTTCTGCATCTCAACCTCGGACCCGGATTGATCACATTACAATCAGCTACCACTAGTGTCGTTATGTGTAAGACTGCCGCTCTTCTTGCAGTACACATCTAGACTATGATCAAGCCCATGTTTGCGCTAATCTTACGTCTCTGTGGCCAGTAAATTCATCATGCTTAAAGTATCGGTGCTAGTAAATTGGTTACAGCTTATGTTGCAACTAAATATCAAGCCAAGCGAGTTTCAAGGTTAGCTATTGACCCATATAAAAGTATGAATAACCATTGGCAGAAATCGCATGATGGCATTAAAATGGCCAGTAAAGTCGCTTGCAACTTCGCGAAACGTCCAGCCCACGATCGAATTGTGTTCGTAGGCATGGCATGTGATTTGTACCTTATAAGTGCTAGGTACTGTTACTAGACTGGTAGGGCCATCTGCCTGCACTAGTTCTCAAAAGTTGGCAGATAGAAACAGTCTAAAAGTTCATGTATCTGTATAGCCATCCATTTATAATGAAAGCCAGAGTGGCTTATGCTAATATGATCTATCTTTAGCGCTTTCTTGATTTTAGTCTGGCTGTAAAATGTTGGGTCAACTATGCATCCGTTAGAGCAGTTGTGCTATATGCTTGTGATATCTGGCTTCTTTGAGTTGAGTGTTAGATCACTTTTGTCTCCGAAGGGTTGCTGACATTCAGTTTCAACAGCATGTTAGTAATGAGAGGTTCGGCATTTTGCGTTCGGGCACAGCAATGACAATTCAGTCGATGTGACCTTCTTGAAATACCAACTCCGGTGACTTTGACTTACCCTAAGGATGTCGTCTCAGCGAGTTCCACATCGTGCATCATTTCCCAACGCTAGGACTAGTTGGAAAGGCAGAGTGATGGTTTGTGTGTACCATGGTATCGTGGTATGAAAGAAAGCTGTACAGCACTGGCATCTGTTGTCCCTCCACTATTCTCTCTCTGGGTTCGTAGAGATGTTGCAACTCAGTTTGCTTGTGACGTTATAAGACATGGTTCAGAATAGCAGCCAGTCGCGGTCCTGTTGTAATTTTAAAGGAAACCTTAACTGAAAAAATTCTTTGTGGTTTTGTTTTCTTTAGTTGAACTGTTTCACTCACTATTATTATTATTATTTCACTCTTATACACTAAGTTCTATATATTATTTTTCTATTTTTCTCAGCTTTACATACTATCGTTTCTTTGCCACAACCTCATTTGTATTGTTTGATGCATACACCTATAATGTGTCCGTTTGTATCAATGTTGTTTATCTGTTTAAATAAATCAGTGAAAAAAAAACATCTATCACTGTACATTACAATGTTCAGTTTAATGGATTAGTGGACTCTTGTTACTTGCTCAATTAAATCCTAATCAGTCACACAAACTAGTCAACAAGTGGTATCATCTTCATCAGTAAACACTTTTAAAGAGAACGTGGATCTCTACTGGTACACAAGTAGCAAGGATTTAATCAGATCAACCATCCTTACTACTGAAAATACTTGTTGATAGTTCATCTAAAATGATTAAAAAAACTCAGTCATGTAAATACTTCAAAAACTTACATATTAAAGCTCGATTATTATAAACAGCATTGGTTTTATGCATAATAAGACTTCGTTTATAATAGCGCAATGCATCAGCATAGTCACCTGATTTAAAAGACTTAAAATTAAAAAAGAGAAGTTTATTATTTGCGAGAAAAATTTTCTACAGAAAATCGCACACACACACACAGAGAACAACTAAGATAAGGTTAAATTCTGTTTATTATATTTTCTAAATAAATGATAGTGCATATTAGTTTATTTTTCACTAAACTAATATCTGATACGATTACTTTTTGTTTAAGTTTCTCATTAAATAAGGTTTCTTCAGCTGACTAAAACGTGACATTATATTCTAGTAAAGTTTATCCAGGTAAAGTAAGAATTATTCAATGATAAAAAGTTCAAGTGGCGTGGATGATTGAATAAAAATCAAAAAGATGAACCTTTAATAATTGCGCCACAAATGAAACTTGTAAACTATTCAAAATACTTAATGGCGGATTCATTGTTTTTGCTGTTACACTGAAAAACCATTTCCTTTGTACAAATACAGTGTAAACAGATAAAGGTGATTCGGTTTGGTTTTTAAGTCGTGCCACTGGTCTTTGTCACAGATTGATGTTATTTGATTCAAATTCATACAGCACTAGAGAGTTCTATTTCTTTTTTTGGTTTCAGTATAGAATTTTTCAGTCAGGATTAATTGAGACTTTGTCAAGAATAAATGACAGAAATCTTCAATTCAATCAATGAGTATATGCTTATTAAAGCATTTGTGTTGAAATTCATCTGTTCATATATGCAATTTTTAATCAGCCTATCAGATAGTTTTATGAATTTCAACTTATTAGTTTAAAAAAACACAACTTGTACAGAGAAACACTTGAAAATGTTCTGATTACAAACCCCATGGGTTAGGGTTATTATATATATATATATTTTTTTTTTTAACTACTAGGGAGTATCATAATTCTGCAGCAAAACAAATGTCGTGTACAACTTGCATGATCTATAATCGTTGCAGTTATCATTTGATGGTCAAATATATTCTGCAACAGAGTTTTAAACAAAAACCTCCATTGTTTTTAAGCATATGGAAATTAGATTTGAATGGTTATGTTAGAAAATTCGAAGTCGTCCAACTCATGATCATTGATCATATGAATTGAAACAGCTAATAATTATCATTGATTGCTCTGGTAACTTCAATATCACCATGGAAAAATTATTGGTTGAATATTCTATAGATATATGTAAACAATAGTTTCAATTCTCTAACATATTCACTCAATTTCCTAGTGCCCATAATTTCTAAAATCTATTTAGTTCTAATTAGATGATGAATAGTTGATTTCATTTTATTCAATTATTGTTATTTATGATACATAAATATATGCTTGAACAAATTAGTATGAACTTAGTGTTTGCTCAATACAAATAAGGAAATAACATTTTCACTAAAAAAGAGATACTATTCAGTTGAGAATACAATGCAGGGAGTACCTTTCATTTTTTATATAAAGTATAAAATAATCACCATTGACTTCTATTCTGAACCGTGTCTAAAAATATTACAAGTTGCAATATTTCTAGGTCTTCAATCAGAGAGTTGTGATGAACCGAAAGACCTCACTCCCACACAGATTTGTTTCATACTACGGCACTATTTCATAAACCAATCGCGTATTCCGTTTTTCATGCAGACCCAGAGTCGGTGGACAACGTGTGTGGTAGTCTCTTGGATGGCATTTGTGAAACAATATTCAAGCAACCAGAGTTGGTATTCCAAAATAATAACACCATCTGAATTAATGGTCGTTGCACTCGAACACATGTTGCCAAATCTTCGCGTTAACAACATAGTCTCTCCACTGAATGTCAGAAATACTTTAAAGAAAACGAAAATTCTCAGCACTGATGAATCATATTTCACAGACATATGGTTGAATCGATCTGACGAATTGTTAGGATATTCACCAAATATCCTAAGAGTACTATTTTTGGAAGTATAATCCTATTGGTCGATTTCTATTGGTCAAAATTATGGTCGTTTTAACTGTCAAAGTCAAATACTTCAATGTTGTCTCTTATTGGTCATCCGGACTGTCAATGTCATTTCAAATGTTCTTTCCTATTGGTCGTCCTAAACTGTCAATGTCACAGACTTCGATGCTCTTTCCTATTCGACCTAAATGTATAAATACGCACTATCTGTAAGACTTCATGATTCCGTTTCTTCCTGCCTACCTCTCTTCTGTACTCGACCCAATAAACAACTCCATCCAACGGTGTTGCGTTCTGATATATAGGAGATTTGGAAATAGTATTTGGGTCGTACTGGGATATTTGAATTTGGACGCCGCTAGGACTGAATAGCTATACGTAGCAGCATTATAACACGAATACACTGTCTACCAGCTTTTTTGTGCTCATACTAATATTACGACAGCATCAAAGATGACCCATAAATCAAATGAGTGATCATGTACTACAGTAATCAGTCATACCTAGTGTATATCAAAACAAATTTACAGTTAACCATTTAAACGAGACAACTATGTAAATGCCTTTATATTGATATTTATGATCTATTTTGAGCGATCATTCATTTTGACAATTGAAACAGTTCAACGTTGAAATCTCCTAATGAAGTACAGAACGGCAGGCTTCAGAATTTCTAGTATCCGAAAATATTTAGTGTTACAGACTTATACTGCCAATGAATATTAATTACGTCTTCAAACCTAGTTTGGAACATCATAGAATATACAGAAATGTCTAAAAACCGATTACATACTCGTTTAAGTATGTTCATAGACAAATGAACTATTAAGACTTGGTTTAAATCATTAAATAAAGGAAAGATAGTTGAGTAATACATTTATCAATCACACTTGAAAACACAAATCCTTTAATGTTATCTTTTTTTTATTCAAACTTTTTTACTTGATAACTAAAAGCCGATTATTTAAAGGGACTGACTAACAACTCATACATATCACTTGAGTACTTTGGCAATTTATTGAATAATCCATCAACTCACTTCATTGCCTTTTTCCTTTTCTCTTTCTGCTAATTTTTGTCTTGTATGGATTGGTATATTAATTATTCTCAATTTTAATTCATCATAATCAAGTTTTGTTAATTCATGTGTTTTCATTGTCGATGAATGCATTGTTTCACATTTTTCAATTTGATCAGTTGTTTGATTATCTTCATCCAATATTTGATCCCATTTCTTTGCTAATCTGCAAAATTATCATCAAAATGATCAGTAAAAAAACAAACGAAATAACGAATTCAATAATTTAATGTTGTTGGATATTTTGAACAAAGTTGAAATATTTGAAATCGCCAATCAATCATTGTTAGACCACCATTAGAAACCTGGAAGCACTGGACGGCCGTCAAGTCCTGGTATGGGACTCATCAGTGGCAGTGCGCATCCACGACTCCTGCACCTCACAGGATTCGAACCCGGAACCTTCGGTATTGTGCGCGAACGCCTAACTTAGGACTACTGGGCCGGCATCCAATGGTGTTAATGTCTAACTCTGATTCGTCTACGGATTTTGCGCGACCCATTTGTCTTTGGTAGTTACTGCCTACACCCGATGGTGGTTTAACAATGACTGATTGGCGATTTCAAATGTGTAAAAACACAAACCTCCAAACCTCCCCCTGAAAAAAATTTGAAATAATGGACTAGTGGCGAAATGTAGGATGGATGTTTTAGTCTTAGGTGGGACTAGTTGTTTGTAACCTCGGCATCACAATGTTGACAATCACTGTTAGACTAGAATGCAGTACCTTTCATTGTAAACACCAATAGGTTATTCAATGAGCTATTAACTTCATGGCAGCCACTAGTTTAACGAAATCAGTAAGAATCGTATTGAGCTACAGGTTTTTTATTCCAATTGAATCATGTTTAGCATCAGTAATAGAAAAATGAAGACTCTAACAAATACATATGATAGTTTGTTGCAAATTAAGAAATGTAATAAAAAAATAATCGTAAAGTTCGAAGCTAAGTGCTTAGTTACTTTCACAGATCTCTTTCATGTACTTCTTCAGAATGTACACAAAGTCTGCTTGATCATTTAGATCAGTTGACTAATTAATATAGTGTAGTTAATAATTATTTTTAATGCGTTGACGTTTCAAGTGAAGGATTCTGAGTTCCAGTCTAAGTGTCAGTAACAATACATCTACTAGATAAGTATTAAAAAAAAGACTGAAATGCACAACTTCGATTTCACTCCTAACCACATATAGTCCATATATTTTAATGTTTCAAATATCAATAATAGTTCAAATCCTGCTTATGAAAAGTGAACCTCTTTTTCTTTGTACAATACAAAGAAATATTGTAGTGAATGAGAACACAAGTGGGGCAACCGAATAGTATTAAACGAAAATTACAGAGTTACTCAGTAAAATCGCAAAAACCATATCGTAAATCGTTCATTTGCAAAATATCAGTTCATCCTATGAAACTGGACTGTTCCTGTTGCAAAACATCAACCCATTGTCACTACTATTCATGCGTTTCATACAAATTCCATTGTTTTCTAACTCTACCTTACTTGATCTTACCCAATCTTCTGCTGCCAGACATTACGTTGACACTCACGTCATATACTACTTATAAGTAGCTCGCACCACAATATGAGAGATGAAATTTAGTACTGTAAAAACCAATAAGGATGTGAAAAAAGGTTCTTTCTATGATTCGATATCAAATATTCAAAACTAAATAGCATTATTTTGTTATTCATCCTGCCTTTAAGCATTTCAATGATGCAGGTCCTCATCTTCACACTACAGTGAAGTCAAAATTATTCAACCAAACAACAGTGAGATTATCATTATTACTTTATCTTATTGGAATATAATGATGAATTTTTTTCAAATTTTATTCACTTCTAACTTAGCATGACTATTAGTTGTGAGTAATTATTAAGCTTAGAAAATTTTTGATAGCTCAAATAGCACTTACAGAATGGGAATCTCATGCGCCTAAAGTCATAAAAAGATTTTTCATAATACAAAAAAGAAGCGATCACAATAAATGACATTTAGATAAAGTGCGCTTAGTAACGATGACAATAAATACGATAAAGATCAACTCTATGGGAAGCTGCAGCCAATATTCCATACTCTGTTCAGCAAGATTTAGGAGGAAGAACAAGTACCAACAAATTCGAAAGAATGACAGTCATCAAGATAACCAAGAAAGGAGATCTCAGCAAATGTCAGAATTACAGACGGATCACTCTATTCTTAACACCAGGGAAGCTCTTCAACACAGTGTTGTTTAATCGAACAGAAGGTTCAGCAGACAACCAGCTTTGGCATTAGCAGGCTGGAATCCGTAAGGATCGATCATATATTGACCAAATTAAAACACTATGAATCATTGTGAAACAATCAATTGAGTGAAATTCACTACCGCATTTCAACTTCCTCGCCTACGAGAAAGCATTTAGTAGTATGGACAGGATGACACTATGGTGTGCACGAGAGGATAGTCAACATCATTCGCAATTCTTATGATAGACTACATGGCAAGATCATGCATGGAGGACAGCTCACAAACTCGTTACAAGTGAAGGCCGGTGTCATGCAAGGTTGCTTACTCTCACCCTTTCTCCTTCTCTTGGTGGTTGACTGGATTATGAATACATCGACATCTGGGGAGAAGTAAGGGATACGGTGGACAACTTGGATGCGGTGCTCCAGACTGGACTTCGTAGATGTTTCGCTCTTCTATCCCACACATACCAGCAAACACAGGAGAAGACAGCCAGGTTTGTAACAGTAGTACGGAAAACGCAATACCCTTATATGCAACACAACATGCACCAAACAATTCAAACTTCACAAAGAAGCTTTGTAGATGTGGAAACTTATACATGCCTGGAAGACATCATCGATAACCAGGTCAGATTACACCCAATGTGACGGCTCAGATCAGCAAAGGAAGGGTAACATTTTTACAGTTGAAGAACATATAGAACTTAAAACAACTGTCAACCAACACCAAAGTCAGAATTTCAATACAAACGTCACTACAGTTGTATAGTATAGAGAGGAAACTAGGCGAACTGCAAAATATACAGGTATTAATAAACAATTGTCTATGCTAGATACTGAGGATCCATTGGCCAGACACCAGTGACAGCAGTCGACTCTGACAGAGAAACAGGTGTTAATTGAGCAAGAAATTAGGAGGAGGTGTTAGGGGTGGATAGGATATACACTGCGGAAATTCTAATTATTTTAAAATCGACTCAAATAAATTGTTCAGTCCTCCACTACATGCTTCAACAAAAGAACTTAATTATAAATTTCGATAAATTATAACACTCTGAATAGATGAAAATATCTTTGAACTTACTTGTCCCATTCACTATAATCTCTTGGCTTCACAACTCTGTTACCAAATGTATAATCACTTCTTGAATTCATCTGAAGAATAAGAACCAAGTAGTAAACACCTAATAAGTTTAAAAAGTGTTCAGCTAGAAAAAAAAGCATATATCTTTATTATTTAAATAAATCGGGTATAATATACCATTAATCTATCCCTACGTCAAACCAGTTCAACAGTTCTGTTTACTTTTCAGTTTTATTTTGTTCACTCTATAAATTTTTGTTAAGACTTCTGTTAGTGTTCTGTTTTGAATTGTAGCGACTTGAAGCAATGAGCTACAAATGTTTGTCTTTTGATTTTCGTTTTCTTTTCGTTTTTCGAAAACCTTGAGATATGACTGATAAAATATTCAATGACAAAGCACTTATAATGAAAGATATAATAAATTGTATGTTGTCATTAAGTATACTGTTCAGTCATGTTAAATATTCAATCTTCTTTCTATTTAATCTGAAATACTACCAGGCAGAAACATAATAATGATTTCTTATTTAATTAAGAGAAATCAGTAAATTTAAACAAACAGAAAACGTAACTCATATTCACGAGTAAGTCAGCTACAACGCAGAACTTCATACGTACGTACATCAGTTCAAGTTGCCACAACATATTAGCACACAGAGATGGAATTGTTAATTCAGATCCCATAGTAGTAGAGGTAGTAGAAGTATAAGCAGTAATCAAAAAGATTAGTGATTGAAGATATGATTCGAGAACTATATCCCAGTGGGACCAATTTAAAAAAGGAGAATAAAAGTCATGAATGATTCAGAAGATTAGAATTTGAGAGAAGAAAAAGAATGGATGCACATGTACTATTTATTGCTAACGATTTTAAGCCATGTCATTCAAGGTTGCTATCATCCCGGGATGCAAGAGCAATGCTTCTAAGACAGCTAGATTGAATACTAGTAACCTATGAATATCCACTATTCTGAGTGGCCATATTTCACACAAATAAAGTAGGACAGGGTGAACTAAAGCGCACTAAACTCGTTTTTCGGTTAGCAAACGGATATCTCACCTACACTATAGGTGACATAAGATGGCAATAATTAGTTGAGACTTTTGCATCCGCGCTGAGATTTCGTCAATCACTCGCCCATCAGCACTGATAAGACTTCCAGGATAAGTGGAGCGGTCGACATACTCAACTACTTCACTGCTTATCACTCGTTTAGGTGTCGATGCAAGTCAATTATGAAGCAACATTTTGTTGTCGGAGAGGGAAAATCACATCTTAAACACACTTGTATTGTTGCTTACGGTGGTCAAAAGACTCTGCGTTTTGTCAACATCTTCACCAAATAGAACTATGTCATCGGCATTTTCGAAGTCAAATGGCGAGTCTCCTGGTAGAAGGTCATCTCGTGAAAATCGAGACGATGACAATGTCGTATCTAAAAGCTCGTCAATGGCAAAGTTAAACAAGAATGGGGAGAATGGACAACCCTGAGGAACACCATTCGAAATAATCATCGCTGATGACAATTTGCGCCAAGCTTTGACTCGGCGATTAGTGTTCGAGCAGAGAGCTTGCATAAGGTTAACATACTTATTTGGTACTCCATTCAATGACAGACACTGTCACAGAACTTCACGATCAGCAGAGTTGAACGCCGCCTTATGGTCAAGGAATACAGCTATAGTAGGACGTCGAAATGTGTTTGTCTCAGCACCAGTAGAAGAGTGAATATCTGGTCCATGCATTCACATCCAGGTCGAAAACCAGAATGCTTTTCTCGAGTCTGCCTTGTTTCAAGACTAAGCTACTTAAACTCGAAATAATCCACTAGTACTAAGAAAATTTCAATACCAAGAAGTTGTAAAAACTTTCATCAACTTACTCGTGTGGCTGATTTTCCATTATTACCAAACATAATACTTTGTCGAATTGGTGGTAAATTTTCATTGTCATATTTCAAAGATTTCTCTTCTAATTCTTCATCATTTATTTCTAATTGCTTTCTATATTGTAATTTCTCTTTTGATTTTGTCAATAAATAATGATCACTGTCAATTTCCTCGTCATTAAACGATTTTACTTCATTGAGCCAACTCTAAATTTTTTTCGTGATATATTTACATCAAAAGTTGGAGAGAATGAATCAATGAGAATTCGCAAAAATTTTTGCTTTAATAGAATCTAAGCGATTAGTTGGGTTTGAACAGATATAGCATTAACTTTTGGTACAAAGCAATGCAAGTCAGAGAATTACTGAAAATCAGAGGATTCCGAGCACCTGATATATTGATTTTATCCGTCGAACTATTTAAACTTGGGTTGATTTAATTCATTTATTTATAATCTAAAGAATTGGCATACACAGAGTGATGAAACGTCAGGAGAATTTTAACTTTTCCACTTATTGGGATAATGTATACACATATAACTTACATTATCTACGTGTGATGTTTGTATACAGCAGCAATTCCTTTGTACATTATTATCCCGCGCCTAGTCTGATTTTGAAAAACACAATACGTTCGTGTATGTTTACGTAGTTATTTCTGTATTCAGCACTGGTCCTTACTGACTACAAGAGTATGAATTGAACATTATTGAGTATTACTAGTTGATGTGCAGAATACAATTACTCTTGATTAACATACCATGCAGAATAACTGCTAAATACTGAAAGGTACACAGTTATTAACAATGTTGTTAAGTCATAGCGATTTTATAGAATCATAATATTCTCAAACTCGTACAAATGGCTGCCAAATGGTTATATTTTTTTCAAATTAAAGTACCAATTCGAAAGCATTAAACACTAACAAAAATCCAGTCCTCTAAATCGATCAGTCAATCAATAGCAATGTAGAACTTCGTACGTTTGTACATCAGTACACGTTGCCATACCACATTAGTACAGATATGTCATGGTCAGTTCAAATCCCGTAGTAGAAGGGATAGTAAAAGTATCGGCAGTGTTAGTAAATTTTAGGGTTCCAAGATCGAGTGAAATAAACTTAAAAAGATGAAGTGAGGAATTCGGAAGGTTAGGATTTGAGAGAACACAAAGAATAAATGCACCTGGGCTATTAAAAACCGCTTTGAGCCATGTCATTCAGAGGATCTAACTATCAATTACTAACGTCTCGTGGACCCCAACCAGGTAGTCGACAATTACCGACATGGCTCAGTCCACTTGTCAGTGACTTCATGGATTTCTGCCATGATTTGGTTTGCCTGTCCCTAGCTTTCTTCCAACCTATTACTACACCGCTAAGTATAGCTCTATGAGGCAGTCGGCAGTTAGACATATGTAACACATGTCCCAACCACCTCAGCTGGTGAAGTCTCAATACTTCATCTATTGGTCTGCCATCCTTACCTAGAACTCGTTTCCTAGCGACAGCATTGCTTACTTGGTTGTCCCAGTATAAATAAGCTATGCTTCGGAGAGACCTATGATCGAACACAAGCAACCTACGAATATCTTCTACTCTGACTGGCCATGTTTCACAGCCATAAAGTAGGACGAAGCGAACAACTGCGCAGTCCTCTAAATAAATTGTGTACAAACCAAATGTTGAAAATTTAGTTAAGATTTTTACCGACAAAACACTTTAAGATGAGGTGAAATCCCCCCCACAAGTGATGCAACATACTTTCGATTTTTTCTGTTTTCTCAAAAAAATGGAGATTGAAAACGTTTATAAACTGTCAGATCATAAACTCCTATTCAACAGTAATAATTTAATTGTTAGGTCACCTGAAAATCTTCTTCGATTCGACATCTTTCATCTTCATTCAGTTGTGTAATTTTTATTGGTTCTACCGCTTTCCGTAAAACACGACTATAAATGGTAGACAACACAATAATTATTGGTAGTTTCATTATCACTAAAAGGCGAAGCTCCAAATATGCATCATTTCTGAAATACTTTAATAATTTACGTCCAAATAGTACTCAAATTACATAAAAGTCATTATTAATGGAGACCTATTAGCAATTTGAACTTTTTAATATGGTTTTCCAATTTTCGCTAATGATGGAACAGCATTTATTTTAGTAGTGAAATCTTAATTTGGCTGTAATTTTGCGCTAATCATCAAATATACTTTGCATTTTTATTTGCAATAAAAACAAGATCTAAATTTAATAATTCCACTAAATTTTTTGTTTTACATTGGAAATTAAATAGTGAACATCAATAGTCGACTCGAAGGTCCTGGATTTTGATGTATCTCCTAAATATAAAATCCAGTCTGGTTGTAAATAGTGTGTTTACTGATTTTAAGCCCTTTTTACCAAAAAAATTAGTAAGCTTAAAATACCTAACATAAACAGCGCACAATACTGTATCAAAGAAATAAAAATCACATCAAGGAGAACAGTTTATAGTGCGTATACTCTTACGTAGATCCCACAGGGCTTGCCGGAGCCCCCGGAAATATTAATTAATCCATTCTGCCCGAGTTGCTAATCCCGCGTCTTCTAACCTGGTCAAATATTCGCTTTTATCGTGTTTATTTTGATTCCAGTGTATATCTACCATTTGCTTCGCTTAATACATGTCTAACTTATTTTGTCTGACTGTAAATATTTAGTCATTCGTTATCGTATGCATTGGGCCCGCTCACCTTCTCCACTTTGCTTCGCTTTGGCTTAAAGCTTTGTATTATCAGGTCTGTCTGCTTGAACGATTGCCCGAAATAGATTCATCCAACCAAATCAGTATTTGGCTTGCTATTACCGACGTCGCACAAACGAGGTTCGCCAAAGTATGATTTACTGGAACTAAAGGGGAGATTTTTTCATAGCATAATAAATTGTTCATTAATAATGGAGTCAAAGAGCGGACTGCCCTACTTCAAGTTCGACGCAGCCACAAGTTTGCTGAACGAATATTAGCAAGGCACTGTATTATCTGGTAGCCATTATAAAATAGTAAATATTCAGATCGTTCCGTACGTATTTGTAACATCAAATCAATAAAAAAATTTTAATTAACATGGCGTTGTATACATTTTTACACCAGAGACAGACAATCAGAAGATCAATTTATGGATCAGATACGACGTACCGTTACTGTATGTTTATATGACAAAATTTATTAATAGTTTCGCCCTAGGAATAACAAAAATAGTTGAAATAAACAGTAAACGTAATTAGACACTTGTATCTTACTACTAAATCCGTTTTGGTTCTAACTTAATTTTCGTTTTCATCGTTTTGGAAAGCTACAGTTCAATAATTAATAATCACTTATTTTCTAACACAAGTTATGTTCATTCGGTTCCCTTAATTACAAATTGACTAGAACCTAATCATATAATTGGGTAAAAAATACTGTTTATTGATTTAATTGAATAGGACTTTCCAAAATATGTAACGAAATGAGCCTCACTGATCTATTCCTATCTTGGCTCAAAAACTACCTATAAAACAGGATGATTCGTACCAAGGTAAATAGAGTGAGTGCGAGCTGGCGAATCTCAACAGCATGAGTCTCATAGGGGACAGTCTTAGGCTCACCCCTCTCTTTGATATTTATTAAAGAATTTTCAGATAAAATTAGCTTGGCGACATCCATCCATGGAGATGATATGAACGTCTAGAGGTCCATAACAAGCGAAGGGGACTAGTTTGAGCTTCAAAGGGACTTTAAAACAAAAGAGGAATGAGCACTGGACGACGGGCTAAAACCCAATCGAAATCTCACTTCAGGACCATTCTTTCTCACGCGATACAAATAACGTACATCCCTAGTGGAAGTCCGTCCTCTATTATCTCCTCGAAGCGCGATCTCGGTCTAACAACCACAAATACCAGTTCAAGACGCAGAGAGAACGCCGTCAGGGCAAAAGCAATACTTCCCTTTATGCAAAGAAAATCAGGTGCAACCATCTCAAAATCGTTCTTAACTCTCGTTGAAACATATGCACGAACACACCTTGGAGTCCAAATTGTTGTCGCAAACCCCACTCTCCAAAATAGATACAAATCTATTAGACCGAGCTTAGAGACGAGCAACTAAGTGGATGATATGATTTGAAAACCAACCCCACATAAATAACCTCCAACACTTGAGATTAGGGTCGATGAGTTTTAGGAGGATAAGAACACCTGACAACGGCATACAACATATTAATTACGCTAAATCATCCTAACATAAGCGTCTTGCCATAACTCTTCACTTTATGCGAAAACAACTTAGTGTAACCACCCTGCAACTATTCAATTTACAAGTAACCTGTCATTATTCGAGTTTTATTTATTTTGACAGCGATTATATAATTCAACTAATTTGGTTACTGTTATATTTTTTAAACACACCAACGGTTTTAGTATATGTTTGATGTATTGACTATTCCAGAAGCTTGAAGAATATGTTTCTAAGTTGCAGATTAAGACCTTAAATTATGCAAGTGACCTAGCTGAATGAGAATTGTCAAAAGACTAGTTTATGACTAAATGGTTTAGTCATATACTGATATTAAATAAACATTAAGTTATCTGTTGGTAGATTTGATACCGTGCACTTAATTATCACACAGATTTCCAGATACGTTGAGAATAATTAAATTTTCATGAGTGGGTTTGCTACACTCACCCACAAATAAGTTAGTGCACCTGCAAAATGATTAAGGTAAGTCGTTTTTACCAGATATATACCATAATAACAAACTGCAGATACTCTAAGTAAGCATGACGATCGTAAAACATTTTCGCTTTAAAATCAGCAGCCGCTGCTTGCACACAAAAGCTGCTATTTGTTTGTACGAAAGTTTTGAGAACTAAATTAAAATATGGATAAATCGTGATCCTTATAACATGCCTAATAGGAAGCACAATTATATAGGTATCTTGAAAAAAATGAGCCTCAAGTTTACTAAAATTTGATTTCTCTAACCTTCTTGGATTTAACGCATTAATTTTTTCTTCGCAAAACGATTCAAGCTCAGCATAACGTCCAACCTCTCCAGATCTGTGAGTAGAAAGCCTACAATATTGGTCAGTACCTCAGGGTTTTCAATATTTTCTCCAACTCATCACAATTCCTACAAGATTCGAGGTACTTAAAGTCCAAATGTGATATAGGAATATCGTAAGTTTTCGTCCTATCGCTGAAGTAAATACTACTGCTCATTGAGAATGAAGTCAAACGAATACTGTTTTCTGTAATCAACACATTGAGGCAATAAAACAAGAATTTCAATTTCCAATCTTGAACAATAAAGGTATGTCTATTCCATTGAGTGTTTTGCGGGCGTATTTCAAATGCTGCGCAGATACTGTCCTACTTACTGCCTTTCCTGTTTTCGTTCGCCAAAATCTGATTCCTGGCTTTGCATTTTGCTTGTTACGATAAACCAAAAGTTGAGTGCCCCATTCAATAGATTATAACAATCTTTGACTTTTCCATCAACAGGCTAAGAGTTGGCACGTGATAGTGACTAGTACAGAGGAATATAAAGAGTGAGAAGGAAGCGTGATCAGGGAAGTTGTATTTCAGCAAATTCCTAAATTTAAGGATAACCAAACCACCTTATTGTTTCATCAATAATGTTATTTTATATTTACTCTGAAATAACAGCATATTGGAATTTTCGTGACATGAGGTCTTTCTAAACATACTGAAATGTGAGAACACTTTTACCGTTGTTTTTTATTTATCACATTATCGTCTTACGAATATTATATTCACCTCCATCACTTTATATTGAGGTTACGTTGAAACTACCTGGTGAGCCATCTTAAAGAATCAAATGCTACACTATGACAGAGGGGCGTAAGTTACATGTCATTATTGATTCACACGTCTCGTTGAAGGCATTCAGAAACAGATGCAAGACCAAAGTTAGAAGTGATAGAATACCACTCCAGATGAAGCTAGCTGCCAAATTACAGGCAAACCACAAGCATCAGTTCATGACCGTAAGAAAACCTATAAATCAGGGTTAGTGTTCTCTCAAAGATCCGTATGGGAAAGACCTCAACAACCTAGAGATGACTGAGATCTTCAACACAGACTTCACTGATCAGTTCAACCAGGCATCCACATGTCAGGAATGCTATGCAAACTCAGGGCCGGCTGACGGCTTAGGGAATATCCGTGTCACTACTGAATTCGTATTAAGATAACTAAAATCCTTACTCTCACAGAAGTCACCAAGTAATGACAATATTAACCCCATTGTCTTGAAACAATGTGCAGAAGCCCTTTAACCACCGATATATGACCTATTCAGGCATTCACTGGATTCAGACCAACTATCAGCTCAATGAAAAAAAGCTACTCACTCTCCAATCTTCATAAACGGACATAGGAAGGACCTAGCCCATTACAGACCAGTTACACTACTACCATTAGTACCAAAGGTAATTGAAGGGCTGGTGAACGAACAAATGAAGGAGTACATCGATAATAGTAACACACCATGAAGCTGAATACGGGTTGCGGTAAAGCAGGTTGTGCGCATCTAATCTCCTCATAACAGTTTAAAATCCTGCCTAGACCGAAAAGCACAGGTAAACGTAATATTTCTCGACACAGCGACCCACCCACAGCTCGATCTCCGCCTAATAACCACTGAAAGCCTCCACACCGGCTCGAACTATATATGGAACACAGACAGGGCAAATGCAACTCTTCACTTTATGTGATGACAACTTGTTCTTATCACCCCACAATTATTCTAAACGTCATTTAAGTCATACGCGCGCCCACGCAACCTCGTCACAACCCCCTCTCCTTAAAAGGGACATAAGTCTCTTTTATCGAGCGCAGAGACTAGCTACGAAATCGGTGCTAGTGTTGAAAAATAAAACATGCCGATATAGACCCCAGCATTTAGGATTATTCTCCCTGAGTTACAGTAGAATAATAGATGATCTGATTATGTCGTGCAAAATATTCAGCAAGACAATGAGAGCATCCTACCGATGCATCATCACCACTCCCGTCGAGATAATCCTCGAAAAATTGCACATCAAAGAGCGGATACTCAGGTTTGTGCACACTTTTCTCACTGAGAGTCGTTGCAAAATTGGAATTCTCCCCCAGCAGAAGAGACCACAGCCTGGACAGCTTTAAGAAGCTAATTGATAAACAGGGGCTGACATACAGATTATGATCTCCAACGTGGACAGGCTGTGCCTGATGCATGACTTGAGACTTGGTAGTCGTTATTATTGCCATCTCCTCAGATCACTCAATTAATCTATCTCGTCTATTATCTCAGTTTCCTCTCCCTTGCTTACACCTTGGTCCTCTCACACAATCTTCACTATCAATAATAAACCAAATTATTTACTGATTTACTTATTTCCGAAATCCTCTTCTTATTAGCAATAGAATTTTATCCCTATTATTCTCCATATTGTAACTAACTGATCTCCAGTCTGGTAATGTGATAGCTGCCGGTATTCAGACACCCTACTGCCCTGAAACAAATCTATGCATTCAAATCAAGGGACATACAAACCCAAATAACTGCCAACTGACTATAATTAGACAGTCAACCGGCAAGACCCCCATTCATTGGACATTACTAAATACCTGGAGACTTACCGAAAGAACAAGAATCGAAGACAAAGAAATCAATTGTTTTATAATAGTTCATATTGGATCTCATGAAGCACTAAGGTTTTTCCACTTCAGCCTTCGTAAATTTGACACTAACTCTGAGGTGATGATCTTTAATCGACAAATAGCTCAAAAGGGAAAATGAATGAAACAAATATTTTAAATCCTTATTCATCATGTAAAGGTTTTCAGTGTATTATGTGAGCCTAACTTGTACTGTGAGTGTTTCTTAATATAGACTATTAGAGTCGGCCCCAAGAAAGCCTTAATCTCTCAAGGTTAATCTCAGCGTCGTTTAATTGCTGTAATCAAGTATGGTTTTACCTACTCTTACTTTGAATCACTAGTTTTACTTATTATTCATGCTTACTTATGTTATTCTATTGGTCTTAAAGTTAGAATTTGTTTTTATATGTGATCATACCTACCTCGTATTAAGTATATTGAATTTTTCTTTATCCTATATCCAATATCTTTTGCTCGAGCAAGTATAAGCAATTGATATCTTATCATTCCGGTACCTGATTTTTTTTACCGAAACACTCAGTATCACCGCCTATTGACACGTCGAAAGATTGGTGTTCCTTGTATTGAAGGTCAGGAGTATTTGCTTTAGACCCATTTGACCCTCTTTTCTTACTTAAGAGGAATGAAACATTGCTTCGATTTTTAAACATTACCATACTTCTTAATTTTCGATTAACGTACAACTTAAGTAAATAATACTAATGATGTATAATAATAATAATCAGTAAATAATATTATGTAATATATAGGGAAAAGCATACTCAAGCTTTGATATGTGCTTGTGTCCCAAATCTCTCATGCAAATGAAAGTATGTCTGTCCGAGTCAGTATTCAAAACAATGCTTTTTCAAGCACAATGCTGTACTATTTTTTTCGGTTCGCAGAAAAAATATTTTGCTTACGATACAATTGACACAAGTTAGCAAAAGCCAATGTAGATTTCTGAGTTCGTGCTTATATTTCGTCATACACCAAATAAATGAGCTTTAAGTATGAAATCTAGTATATCTAGTTCGTTTAAATCATACTTTGCTTACTTCTATTTGCGAATCTTAGTCATTCAGCTACAAAGTAGAATTTCGTACGTACGTACATCACTTCAAGTTACCATACCGCCTTAGCACGAACTGATGGAATTTTCAATTCAAATTCCATAGTGGTAAAGGTAGTAGAAGTACTAATCGTAATGAAGAATATTAGGTTTGGAAGATATTATTCAGGAAGTTTATGCCAGTGAAATGAGCTTAAAAAAATAGGACGATAGTGATGAGAAATTCGAAGGGTTACAATTTGAGAGAATACAAAGAATGAATGCACATGTTCCATTACAAATGGTTTTGAACCATGTCATTCAGTGTCTAACCAGTGGTTACTACCATTGCGCGGACCCTAACCAGATAGTCTACACTTACCAACATGGCCCAGTCCACTTGTCAGTGCCATATATTGGCTTGGCCGCCCCTATCTTTCTTCCAGCCTATTCTTACACCACAAAACAGCTCGATGAGGCAGTTGGTGGTTCGGCACGCGTAACACATGTGGCACCCACCTCAACTGATAAAGTTTCACTACTTCATCTATTGATCTGCCATCCTTAGCTAGTGCCCGTTTCCTAACAGTATTATTGCCTACGCGATGGTCCCAAGATACACGAACAATGCTTTAAAGACACCTATGATCAAAAACAAGCAACCTACGAATATGTTCTGATCTGACTGGCCATGTTTCACAGCCATATAGTAGGACTGAACGAACTGATGCTCAGTAAACTCGTCCTCTGGTTAGGAAAAACTAGTCGAACCTTACGAACCTTATGAAAATCGTGGGGTTCATTTTCTTCTTTTTCGAGTACTTCAGGAACATTAAATGAAGAGAATGGTTGCAACAGCATAACTTATAGACGGTGATCAGCAGCCTATTTAGTGTAATTTTATTGTTTCAAGTATTACTTAAATGAACAAATGTTCACAGACACCAAATTTGGTGATTTCTCAGTGTTTATCGATGATTTTCTCTGAAATCGTTATCCGCGAATCCTGATGAATAACCATAATCTCGAAACCTAACCTTTTCTTGTTTTGTGACCACTAATCACTGATACTAAATAATCATTTTAATGTATTACCAATTCATGGAAATGGCATTAGTAATAATTGTATTCTAGATATCGCAGAACACCATCGTTTTCGCAACAAGATCCAAGCTTCTCGGATTTAACCCCATTTAAAGTTGTATTCACTAACTGCTGGGTGACAAAGAGAAATGCAACGAATGTCCAGTGCTCTCTGGCTTTTCAGAATTTTTCGACAGATGTCATTTCGTGACGGATATGTCTTCAAATTAAACTATTCCCCATAGACACTTATTAGGCTGATTTACTTATTCTAATATACTTCTCTCTTTACGATTGTTTTGATATTATCGTTTTATGGTATTTTTTCGCAAGTTCTGTCGAAAAGCGATAACTTACATTCATCGCTCCACATCACGAATCAGTAAATCCGTATATTTGTTTAAAAAAATAAATTTTGGTAAAAATGTATTGATACTGCGATCTTATCTGAAGCTGCTGATTAAATTATTCTACTCCTATCTTTTGTTATGTTACTCAATTTATTTAATGCCCACATGAATATGTGTATAAAACCTTACATTCACGTTCTGTCTAAAATAGTGTAAACATACAGCGCTCTAGTTTATAAGACTGTTTTTGTTGTCTTAAACAAAGGTTCACTGACCTGCTTGTTCCATAAATTTTGACTTAACACCACCTAAGTAGTAACACTATCGCATACAAGTATGAGACTTATTTATTTCTGTTACTCCCCAAAGGAGCATAGGCCTCCGACCAGTATTCTCCATCCTAATCTGTCCTGGGCTTCTCTTTCCAGTTCTGACCAATTTTTGTTCATTCTTCTTGTCTTTCTTTATTTCTTGGCCTTCCTCCTTTCCTTTGACCTTGAGGATCCACCTTCATTGTCAACGATGCTGCGCAAATATGTAAAGGTTTCTACGTCTTCCAGAGCTTCTCCATCAAGTCTGATTTGGTTGGCGCATGCTATGTTGCATCGGTGAATCTTGCTTTTCCCTTTATGTATGTTGAATCCTGCTGCTACTGAGGCTACTGATACACTGGTCTTCTCTCGCATTTGTTGTTGCGTGTGCGATAGAAGAGCCAGATCGTCTGTGAAGTCCAGATCTTCCGGCTGCGTCCTGGCTGTCCAGTTGATACCGTGCTTCCCTCCAGATGTTGACGTCCTCATAATCCAGTCGATCACCAGGAGAAAGAATAAGGGTGATAGTTGGCAACCTTGTCTGACACCAGTCTTCACCTCGAACGAGTCTGTCAGCTGTCCTCCGTACACGATTTCGCAGTTTGATCCATCATAAGAATTCCTGGAACCTATTACTGAGGGTTATCTTGAATTCGTCGAGCTTTCCAGTATCCCGAAGAAAGGCCTTATTAAACTTTTGTGATGTCGTCCGCCCTGTTTTCCAGCGCTTCTTGAGTTTCAATTTCACTTACGTGACCAGCAAGTGGTCACCTGAGGCTATATCAGCTACTCTCTTGGCTCTCTCGTCCTCCATGGTCCTTGTGAACCTTTTATTGATACAAATATGGTTGATTTGGTTCTGAGTAGTATGATCCAGTGACATCCATGTACCTTTATGTTTGCGTTTGTGTGGTAATATTGTGCCACCGATGACCAGTTCATCGAAGGCACATAGGTTTGCAAATCTCTAACCATTTTTGTTCCTTTCTTCCAGTCCATGTCGTCTTATGATGTCCTCATATCATCTGTTGTTCATACCAACCTTGGCAGTTAGGTCTCCTATCAAAATAGTGAAGTCCATTGTTGAGCGTTTCTCAACGATTGACTGCAGGCTTTGGTAGAATTGATCGTTAACGTCTTCCATGTTATCGCTTGTAGGCGCATAGCACTAGATGGCGTTGATTGTAATCCCATATTTCATTATTTTAGAGGATGCCTTGATTATCCTTCGTCCATGAGATTCCCATCCTCTCTGTGCTTTATGAGCTTGTTTGGATGGTATCGGCGCAACTCCTTGTGTATGTGGAGCATTTTTTCGTCATGACCGGAGAATAGCAGCAGCTCTCCTAAAGCTGGTCTTTGTTGTCTAATCTACGTCCAATGTGTTTTACTGATTCCAAGCACGTCCAGGTTGTATCTTTTTATTTCTGCAACAACTTGGAGTCGTCTTCCGGTCTCCTACATTGTTCGAACATTCCACGTACCTAAAAGAATGATTGCTCTGTTTTTCAGATAGAGCATCGGCCTCTTGACTTCCAAAGGAACTCGGCTTTCAACATGAAACGTCATAACTCTTCTAAATGAAGATCTTCTAACTCCTAGGGTAAAGTTTAAATGTTTAGAATCATTTTTTATAGTTAGCGTCTTTTTAGTGAGTTAGTTTTCTGCGGGATGTGGTCGCCAACCTCAATCCCAACCCGCCTTCTTTATCCGGCTTTGGGACCGGCAGTAGCCTCGGAGGGGCTTCAGCGGATTTACAAGCATGAAACAGTCCACTTGGTATGCGTTGATTCACAAGAACCCATGTGGGTGACTGTTTGTACGTGCGCAGATAGGATGTCCGACTTGATTGCATAACAATCTAGACGACATGTTCGTACCCTCTGCGGCAAGGGTGATATTGCTTGTGGCAATCGTGAGAATCCTTGTGTTGTGTGAAAGCGGCATATGCGCATGTGCTGCAGGCATGTTGTTCGACGGTCTAAAATTATATATATATATATATATATATATATATATATATATATACATGTTTAAGTAGTTACTGAATTACAATAACTTCACAATTATGTCGTCTATACTTAATATCAATAATTTTTTGTAGGTCTTTGTATAACGATGTCTTCAAATCCAAACGATGTGACTGATCTTATTGCTAAAGCTGAAAAATGGTATACTGTACACTTTGTATTTTAATAACTCTTCAGCCTCAAAATATCTTTACTAAAGAGGAGACCTGATTATGATGGTGCAATCGAATATTACGGAAAAGCTGCATTACTTTATCGAAATCGCAAACAGTTAAAAGAAGCAGCTGAAACATATAAAACAGTAATTTTGTCCTTTAAGAATCGTTAGTTCTCAGGTTGCTGAGTTACATTTTAAAAATGGGTCTTATTTCCATTGTGCCAAACAGTATGAAATTGCTGCACAAATGTACCGTGATATTAAAGATTTTTCACAAATGGCTTCATTAATTGCTGAGGCTGGACTGATGCTACGACAGAATGGCACTCCTGACTCAGCATCATATGTTTATGAGCGTGCTGCCAAGTACGTTATTATTTCTCTTTAATGCTGTCGTATAGAAGTCTTGAAGAGCCGTTACCCGAACGTGCTGCTGAATTTTATGAAAGATCTGCAGATGCTTGTGAGGTTAGTTTCTATATATCATGGTAGCTATATTATTTAATGCCACACGAAAATTTAGGCATAGATAATTTTCTAACTATTAAACCTATTGCCGTTATCTTTGTTTGTGTCTTTTTAAGCCAGCTATTTGTTTCGGTTTCTAGATAGAAGAAAAATTTCATGAAGCTGCATCACAAGCCAACAATGCTGCTCATATATGGGTTCGTTTAAAGCGTTTTAACGAGGCGGAACGCCTACTTCGATTATTTATTGATTACACAATAAAAGGCCACATGAATAGTGTTGGAGCTACAGCAGGTGGATTTGCTGATCCCAACGCCTCACCAAAACTGTGTGGTCGTGCTGTAACAGTTCTTATATTGATTAAATTGTATATGGAAGATGAAGTAGCTGCCAAAAAGATCTTTAATGAAGCTGTTGAGTAAGCACGCGTGTCCTTTTACTTACTACTGACAAGTAGTTTTCTATTATAGTTTTTTGTGATCTTTAAAGAGACATATAACTGGTAAAATCCATTGGTCTACAGGTATATTTAGGGTTGGCAATGCTCTACAGCTTCCTCAACTAACGCTTTTTCCTGATGTTAAGCGATTACAATCGTTTGGTCGAGTTATGTAATAATTTTATGTCATAAATATCTAAGATGAAAAATATCACTTATTAGAACTTCAAAATAAACTTTAATAGGTGAGTGCACATAATTATATTTGGACTTGAGAGGCATTAAATGTATGATGGATGCTTCATCACTTTTTCCGTGTTCATTTACTTTTCATCAATTTACCATTCATATCAAAAATTAAAGTACGTCTACCACTTAAAAACCATGTAAATGTTTTATCTATCAGGCTATCAACCACGTTGAAGTTTTGAGAGGTAAACACACTACCCAGACATAGTAGGTGTAGTACTAAATGTGTGAGCTAAACAACTGAAAGTTTAAAAATCCAAACCATAGTTTTAGATCCAACAATACATAAAACATCTTAGTAGTTATGTATTTTTACCCTGTCGAGCACCTCTATCTGATACTTTTTCAAAACCTGAATATCACAGTAAAAAATCAAATAAACATAAAAATCCACCCCTCAGTTGTGTATATTTCCATAGGAAGGAAGTGGTCAACATTAGCATCAATAATGTTTTTGTTTGTCATTTTAAGGCTTTGGAGATTTCCGGAAGCTGAAGAATTCTCAGCAGTAAGGCGACTACTAGCCGCCGTTGATGACATGGATAAACAGGCTTGTGAAAAGGCAATAAAGGATCAATGCTTCAGAATGCTTGACTTAGATGTAAGTTTTGTACGCTTATCTGATTGTTTGTCCTACTACAAACAAAAAACTGGCTTTTAATTTTTCTGATGTTAATACTGAGTGCTTTTTATAAAATATAAAGTTAATCACTTCCCCACCATATATGCATTTTAAATTAAATTCTAATCGAAATAGTTGTGATGCAATATAAGAATAAGTATTGATTCTATAATTTCACTTTATTTGAGTATGTTTGTTATGATAGACTTCAATTTCGGAGCGGCTATTCAGCAACTCTCATTCATTAAGAAGTAGCTTATTCAACAAACCTCGTTCTTCCTACTTTGGTTAGGGTGGTTAGGTAGTGATGGAAATATGACTCAAAGCCATTTACACGAATCTATACTCGGTTATGATTTGAACTAAATGAATAGTCTTTTCTATCAACAGTTTATTGTAATATTTGCAATATCCGATCACCTAATCGAAGTCAAACAAAGAAATAATATGTATTTTATTACAGAACTTATCAGCAATTAGCTCCTTTGAGAGTATTCAAGTTAGAATTCATGGTATATATCATAGTTTCTAAAAGCATTAGATTAATTTTGCATTAATTTTGGTGTATTTTCAACGTGAACTGATTTGAGTTGTAGATTAATGTTAGGAAAAAATTCTTATTTGAACTGATGAAATCATGAAACAGTTATTTTTAATCTAATATTAATTATTAGTACTGGATTATCACAATTGGATGTTAGAATAAAAAAAGTTTTTATTTGATTTAACGGTGGTATCCACCTCAAAGAAATCATATCTTACACTATGACGACAAATAGACGTAAGATACATATCATTATTGATTAAACATCGTCTCAAGTATACTAAACTTACTTAATTTTATCATTTAAAATAGTTAAAGGCTACTGAATATGGTCAAGTGTATAAAGTACTTATGTAAAGTTCTGATTTCATGAGGTCAGAAATGTTTTCCGAGGGCTGTTATGAAAATCTGTCAATATATATATTACCACCGGATGTATTTTGATTGACAAGTTATGTAGATATATTCTATACTGTGTAGTAAAATGACTTATAATTTAGTCCTTTATAGCCAATAAGATTTGAGAGACCACAAAAAATGAATGCACCTGCGTCATTGCAAACTGTTTTAAATCATGTCATTCAAGATATCTAACCATCGAGTACTATCATCTTGCGGACCGCAGCCAGCTAGTCTACACTTACCAATATGGTTGTCGGTGGCTTCATGGATTTGTGTGTCATCAGCAAGTCTCCTGGTAGATGTTCATCTCATGAAAAGTCACACAAAGATACTGTTATCTCTAGATGCAAGTCTATGACAAAATTAAACAAGAATGGGGAAAGTGGACATCCACTTGAAGTAATCAATCCCAATGATAGTTTGCTTTCTCTACCCACCACTGTTCGTGACCATTGTGTAGGCCTGTGCCTAAGCTGACTCCGCTCCTCATCGTGCTCAGATCCAGATGGAATGAGTTTACGACTATCAGTCATATCAGTAGATGTTAATGAGATCCACTGTTTCTCTCAAACATTATGGTTTGTTTATCCTACTAGCAGGTACCATTGCTGTTTCCACTGCTCCAGGGCGGGCATCACCTAACTATCTTTCTGATTGTTCCTGAAAAATATTCTTAGCTTTGCTATCATTAAGTAGAACCCTAAGCGGCCTCTTTGCTATGTCTTTCCTACGTCCACTAAGACGCAAATAAATACGCGCTCGCACTATAGCATGATCTAAATCTAACCAAGTGCTCCAGAACAAGTGTCTGTCCTCTATTGAGCCTCTCCACCAATGGCTATTTGGATCGACTGTGGGGGTCGCCAGGTCAAGAGAGATTTTTCCTCATACTTAGTGTTTGCTAGAAATAGGCAGTGATCTGAGCATAGCTGCAGCAGACGATTGCCATTATCTGGTCGATCAGCCGCGATATCATAAGATCTACCCAGGTGTCTTTCCTTTTCACTCAGTCTACCTAATTGAGCATTGAAGTCACCAGCCATTATTACGATATCAGAGCGCTTGACTTTTTGAAGGTTAGAGAGGTTTCTGTAAAACTCATCTTTTACCTCGTCTGAACTGCAGTCAGATACAACAAAGACGCATCGGCCAGTTTCCGTATCTGTGCGAGTTAGTACCGTCCCGTTTAGTCGGACAGCGCATAAGCGACTGTCTGCTGGGATCCAATCTAAGAGAGCTAGTTCTCTCCTGCAATTAATGCTTTATATACAGCGAGGTCACAGGAAGCAGCATCCCGGCTTCTAGAAACACGAAGCATGAACCGTGTCGCTTCTCTATCTGCACTAGGTGAAATCAAATTGACGACTTTACTCGGATCTTGTATGCGCGTTTCGGAGACGCAACACACATCGATGACACGGGATTCCAGAGTTCTAGCTAATGAAGCTTGTTGCAGTATTTGACACAAGGTTCGGACACTAAAGCTCCGATATGTAGTTAAGTGCGGGGTCGCAGGAGATCAGGAATGACGTTTCGTCATTTCATACTGTATGCTTCAGTGGCGTGAGGTGACAAACGTTCGAAAGAAGGGTTGATCGAGGAGATAAGAGAGTTATTAAGCGGTGTAGAAAGGATTTGATCGTGACCATTTCGGTCTCGTGTGCTTTTATGGGTATGAGGGCGGATGTTACTTATTGGCTACCCGCACCGTGGAAGGCATCTGGTTGTTAGAATGGGCATCGGTCTCTTGACTTCCGAAGAAACTTGGCTTTCATCATGAGAAGTTATAACTCTTCTAAATGAAGACCTGACTCTCAAAGCAGGTTTTAAATGGTTTGAATGATTTTTTTCATGTTAGCATTTTGTAGAGAGTTAGTTTTTTCTAACTCTCTACAAAATGCTAACATGAAAAAAATCATTCAAACCATTTAAAACCTACTCTGAGAGTCAGGTTTTCATTTAGAAGAGTTATAACTTCTCATGATGAAAGCCAAGTTTCTTCGGAAGTCAAGGGACCGATGCCCCTTCTAACAACCAGAGGCCTTCCACGGTGCGGGTAGCCAATAAGTAACATCCGCCCTCATACCCATAAAAGCACACGAGACCAAAATGGTCACGATCAAATTCTTTCTACACCTCTTAATAACTCTCTTATCTCCTCGATCAACCCTTCTTTCGAACGTTTATCACTTCACGCCACTGAAGCATACGGTATGAACTGACGAAACGTCATTCCTGATCTCCTGAAACCCCGCACTTAACTACATATCGGAGCTTTAATGTCCGAACCTTTCGTCAAATACTGCAACAAGCTTCATTAGCTGGAACTCTGGAATCCCGTGTCATCGATGTGTGTTGCGTCTCCGAAACGCGCATACAAGATCCGAGTAAAGTCATCAATTTGATTTCACCTAATGCAGATAGAGAAGCGACACGGTTCATGCTTCGTGTTTCTAGAAGCCGGGATGCTGCTTCCTGTGACCTCGCTGTATATAAAGCATTAATTGTAGGAGAGAACTAGCTCTCTTAGATTGGATCCCAGTAGACAGTCGCTTATGCGCTGTCCGACTAAACGGGACGGTACTAACTCGCACAGATAGGGAAACTGGCCGATGCGTCTTTGTTGTATCTAACTGCAGTTCAGACGAGGTAAAAGATGAGTTTTACAGAAACCTCTCTAACCTTCAAAAAGTCAAGCGCTCTGATATCGTAATAATGGCTGGTGACTTCAATGCTCAAGTAGGTAGACTGAGTGAAAAGGAAAGACACCTGGGTAGATCTTATGATGTGGCGGCTGATCGACCAGATAATGGCGATCGTCTGCCGCAGCTATGCTCAGATCACTGCCTATTTCTAGCAAACACTAAGTATAAGGAAAAATCTCTCTTGACCTGGCGACCCCCACAGTTGATCCAAATAGCCATTGGTGGAGAGGCTTCATAGAGGACAGACACTTGTTCTGGAGCACTTGGTTAGATTCAGATCATGCTATAGTGCGAGCGCGTATTTGTTTGCGTCTTACTGGACGTAGGGAAGACATAGCAAGGAGACCGCTTAGGGTTCTACTTAATGATAGCAAAGCTAAGAATACTTTTCAGGAACAATCAGAAAGACAGTTAGGTGATGCCCGCCCTGGAGCAGTGGAAACAGCAATGGTACCTGCTAGTAGGGTAAACAAACCATAATGTTTGAGAGAAACAGTGGGTCTCATTAACATCTACTGATATGACTGATAGTCGTAAACTCATTCCATCTGGATCTGAGCACGATGAGGAGCGGAGTCAGCTTAGGCACAGGCCTACACAATGGTCACGAACAGTGGTGGGTAGAGAAAGCAAACTATCATTGGGATTGATTACTTCAAGTGGATGTCCACTTTCCCCATTCTTGTTTAGTTTTGTCATAGACTCGCATCTGGAGATAACAGTATCTTTGTGTGACTTTTCAGGAGATGAACATCTACCAGGAGACTTGCTTGTCGACTTAGATTATGCTGATGACACACAAATCCATGAAGCCACCGACAACCATATTGGTAAGTGTAGACTAGCTGGCTGCGGTCCGCAAGATGATAATACTCGATGGTTGGATATCTTGAATGACATGGTTCAAAACAGTTTGCAATGACGCAGGTGCATTCATTCTTTGTGGTCTCTCAAATCTTATCGGCTATAAAGGACTAAATTATAAGTCATTTTACTACACAGTATAGAATATATCAACATAACTTGTCAATCAAAATACATCCGGTGATAAGATATATTGACAGATTTTCAGAACAGCCCTCGGAAAACATTTCTGACCTCATGAAATCAGAACTTTACATAAGTACTTTATACACTTGACCATATTCAATAGCCTTTAACTATTTTAAATGATAAAATTAAGTAAGTTTAGTATACTTGAGACGATGTTTAATCAATAATGATATGTATCTTACGTCTATCTGTCGTCATAGTGTAAGATGTGATTTCTTTAAGGTGGATACCACCGTTAAATCAAATAAAAACTTTTTTTATTCTAACATCCAATTGTGATAATCCAGTACTAATAATAAATATTAGATTAAAAATAACTGTTTCATGATTTCATC